CGTGCAGGTCGTCAGGCTACCGAAGCGGGGGCGCCATCCCCTCCGCAAAGTATCAAAATTGTGATGGCATGTCTTCGGATCATCCTCAGGGATGTTTCCCAGACAGTCGCCAATAGCCCATTGTGCAGCTCTAGTGCGACGTAAATTAACAACAACAACAACTGAATTAAATTAATTATAATAATTTTTAAAAAAAGTTGAGTGACCTGCCGTAGTATGCAAAAATGAAACGAAACTTTACTTGCAGTATTTTTGAAGGCAATGTACAAAAACAGGTCCTTTTTTTAAATTAGCTTTTATTGAGTACATTAATGTTGATAAAAATGATCAAGAAGTTAAACATTCAATGTACTTTTTATTCCCAGTTAAAATATAGCTGATTTATTCAAAGAAGAAAGAATACAGTTCTCCACTTGATTTAAAAAAACAAAACAAAGGACTATTAATCCAGGTTATAAAGTAGCAGTGACCGTGTAAGCATCAACAAATACAAATAATTCTTACAATGAGGATTAAACGATTTAACACTAAGTTGTTTTGAAATGAGGTCCAGAATTCCCTAAAACATTATTTAACCTCTAAATGCTTTTAATGCTTTTCAAAACGTAAAGAAATAGAATATAAACGCCCTTTTAACACAAAAAATACACAGTCTTTACAGTAATTATTTTTTTACTAAATCTGACACTTGATGCACTTATTCGGAATAAACCTACTTCTTTTTTTCTTCTTTTTTTGAGGGATCTGGATTTTTGATCCCTAAGATATTTTGGAAATGCGGTTGCAATTGTTTGGACAGGAGAGAGTTTCAAAATTTAGATCCCTTAATGTTTATTTTATTTTTTGTGTATTTGGCTATGTATTGAATACTTTTTAAGCGAATTGAAACATTTTTTTTTTTTTTTTTGCAATTGTAAAATTCGTTTATTCAAATATAATTCCATTCAAAATATATCTTTTAGTAAATGATCATTAGTTTTTTATTTAATATTAGTCGGAAAAATTTTGTCTAGTAGACAATTTTTGTACATCATTTTAAAGAATGCAATTTTAAATAGCAAAATTTCAGAGAAATCGATCGATTATCGAAAAGTTGCATTTTTAAAAAAAATTTCTCCTTATAATTCAATTTTTTAAGACCATTAATAAATAAAATGATAAATATTTACCATTAGTTATATTTTGCCTAGAATTAATTTTAGATAAACGGAGCATTTAACTGAGCGCAAAAATATTTCAAATTGCTTTAGAAGTTTTCGAGATACGCAAAAAATAAAATTATCATTAAAGGTTATAAACTTAGGACTGCTCTCCTGACAAAATTATTGGGACATCCCAGAATTACAACTTACTGCTGTGCTGATTTAGGTGATCCGTCTATTGTTGGTGCTATTCATACTCTAAAGGGAAACTTTAGTTATATAACAGGAAAATGAGTTCGCAGATAAATGAGAACGATTAAGTGAAAACTCGGTAACATTTTCATTATTTATTCATTTTGTACACGAAACTAGCGTTAAGGTATTATATTAAACTTTTTAAAATGAAGACGTGTAATCCTAAAAGGTTCGATGGTATGAAAATCAACAGCAGTGAGTACTGATGGCGATTGGAAATTCGATTAAGGGTTTGATCGACCAGCAATCCGGAGCTGGTTGCGGCTAAGGGGATAGTACACCCGCCTCCCGATGAGGTGGCGCTGGTTCGAAGTCCAGTGATGGCTGGTCGATACAAATTTCGCACCCGGTCGCACCGACCACTGTGCTGACGTAAATTATCCTCAACCGTATACAGATTATGGGTTAGAGTCTCCTTGCTGTCTGGCTAAACATGAAAGTTTTCATGGTTTTTCTCTACGTGCTACGCAATTGCAGGTTATTTCCAAATTCTATAGCGAAGTTCTCCAAGGCAAATTTCTCCCAGTACTTCTTCAGGATAGTACTTATACAGTTTTTCCCAGGACAATCTATAAAAGTTCGCTTGTCATCTGGATTGGGTTCAAAATTACAAGGCTACGGAGTTGAACGTTGGTAGCCGTGATCCCTAAATTGGGTCAGCTGTTCAACGACAGTTATAAAATAAAATAAAATCCACGCGCTCCAGCCACGAACTGTTCTAGTAATATCGCTATTTTTTTCTTTTTCGCTCGTCGGATTTAACGCTCTTTATTATCAAGCGTAATATGTTTGAATTCGGATGGAGTTCGTTGACTACATTCGAATCATTCAGCTCCAGCCTTCTGCACAATAAACTGGTTGTCGTAATATTTTCATTTAAAAACAACTTTTTAACAACTGTTTAGAATCATCGAAAGGGTTTCGAGTTAAACAGAGCATTCCATTAAGTTCAACCTTAATGTATAATGATTTAAAACCCTTGATAAAATTTGAATAAGAAGAGTATACACATTAAGGGTTGTAAGTTAATAGTTAAGAGAGGAAAAGAAAACTATGAAAATTGGATGAACCATGACTGATTAAGGTGGAACTGACTAAAAACATTAAAACCTGTGTGATTACGAGAGAGAAAAAAACACTTTGAAGGTGATTCCAACGTGACACGTTCAAGAGTCTCAGCCATTCAAATTGGCTTTATATTTTTCATAGCACTTATACTTTACAATTAATTCCACTGATTCGATAACGATGAAGTTTTTTTTTTCTCCTTTGAAATATCAATTTACCTCCGTTACAACGTGCTAGATGTGAAGACAGAACACCCTGCATGATATACAGTATTTTACGTGAAAATAAATTATGTAATTTTGATAATCAAAATTAAAAATTTTAATAAGATGAATAGCTTTTTGAGGTAACCCTTTAAAAATAGTACCATTTTTTAATTTCTTGTAATTACTTCGTCTCTTTAACTCTTCAAAATTATGTTGTGATTAAAAATTATGATTTTAAAATGACATAAAATGTTTTATACCTTTTAAAATACACGTCTTTTTCTGATCATTAATGAATAATAACTTCATAGACGACGGAAAATGCAGAGCGTCATAGAATTTGTGCTCAGATTTTTGATCGTACCTTTGACAGAGTTATTGCAATAAATCGCATAGATTTTAAGTGCGGGATGTTAGTCCCTGCAAATGAGGAAATTCAAATGGCATTCATTTGCTCATAAATGACCAACTTTAAATTTTTTTAACCACTCTCATTTAGGACATAATCATGAAACATAAATTCGGGGGCTAACTTCGAATTTTTAGGCTAAATAAACATAAATTCAATTTTTATATTGTATTCGTTTGTCCACAAATGACCACCTTTTAATTTTTTTACCACCCTTATTTTAGTTGTAATCACAAAAATAAGGTTTGGAGGAAGCTTGGATGTTAGCCCCCGAAAATCAGGAAAATTTAAACTTTCAACTGCATTCATTTAACCACAAATGACACCCTTTCAGTTTCATTGACCACCCTTATTTCAGCTGTACTCTTATAAATAAGGCTTGGAGGAAGCGTGAAGTTAGCTCCGAAAATGAGGAAACTATAATATACTAACTTCTTTCGTTTGGCCACTTTTTGACCAGAATGACCATCTTATAATTTTCTTTGGCCGTTTTTATTTCAGACATGATCTTTAATTAAATTATTGCGTTTTTACGCCAAATAAATAAATTTCCAATTTTAGAATGTATTCATTTTACCACAAACGTCCCCTTTTAGTTCCTTTTACCATCCTTATTCTAGTCGTAGTCGTTGAATTGTATGAATACTAATTTTGAAATTAAATTGTAAACATTAAAATATTTGTCTTTTCTTAAACTTAAATTTCGATGAATCTACGAGACAATTCGAGAATTGTTCAATTGTTAAAATAGTAAGGAAATAACTCATGAAAAAATAACTTTTGAAAAGTGTGTCAATACATCGGTTTCTTCTATTTTTTGTTATTTAGTGTTTTTAATAATTAATATTATACCTTAATCTTATTTCATTTGTACTTATTTTACACACGTTCTTACTTATATTAATTATTTAATATATTTATTTTGTTATAACACAGAGAAAAAATTACATTTTTTCATATTAAAAAGAGAGAAAATAAAGACAGAAAATAAAACTTCTCCACTCTCCACTAAGGGTGGAAGCAAGTGAAGTGTTGCCATAGGTAGAGATTTCTGCTCTACGCTACGCCACCTGTAGTCCATTTCGATTGTCAATTATTTTAGTTTTTGCTACTTGTAACCGTTACTTTTTCTTAACTGCTGTCTGCCGTACCGTAAAAATCTTCTCTTTTCCGTTTCAGCTATAGTGGAACTAGTTAAAATTTCAATTATATTCCACTAGAGAAGTAGTTCTTGCCTTAAATAAAGACCTTTAAATGATGTAATAAACAAATTGTGAATTACTTTATTATTTGCTTTGTTGACTACCAATAAAAGGCGTATTCTGTAATTTGATCATATCGATCGATTTATTAGTGATGTTTACATTTTTATTAATTTTACCATATTTTTATGTTTCTTCCTATCTGAATATCTTTTAAGATTGTTTAGTTAAGTAATTTTTTTTCTATTAATTTAGAATGTGGTAACTTACGATCTATTATTGATACAAAGATCTTGACGTATATTCTGCTCAACCATGGGATCCCTGTTCCGAAGCGAGGAGATGACACTTTGTCAGCTGTTTTTACAGTCTGAGGCAGCTTATGCATGCGTTTCAGAGCTTGGGGAATTAGGTCTAGTTCAATTTAGAGATGTATGTATAAATTTAATTTTATTAATTGTAAAAAACTCTAATTGCAGGGATGTGATTGTTATGATCCAATTTACCTGCTGTTCAAAGTAAACATTTGCTAAAAAATGTTCAAAGCTGTATTATTGAAAAATCATATTTAGTTTTAAAATATCAGAATGTGATGTGGAGAATACAGTTTCATCTTTTGCTTTGTGTTTTTACACTGAAGAATGTTTCTCAATTAAGAACCAACACTCTAGTATGTCTGTTTATGTGCCAATATTGTGCTCTTTTTCATGTTGCTTAACTTTATTCATATATAATTTAAATTTTTATTTTTAATACTCGTTTGGATCCCCCTAATTTACATTACTTTCTTATCTGCATTTTCGAAAATTTGCTTTCACTAAGGTTCACACCAAGCTAACAATCATGTTTTATGACAAATTTCTATTATTGATGTTACATTAAAAAATAAAATTCATTTTCTTCTCACGTTACTAAGAAAGTTAAATAATTGTCTTAAACTGATTCAAAAAATATAGAACTATCAACTTAAAAATTGGGAAATTATCTTCACAAAAGTGCTGCATTAGACCAGAGTTTTTTTAAACTGTGGGTCACAAGATCTAAAATTGATGGTCACAAGATCTAAGGGTGCTAAAAATTTTAGCTGTTTTAATATTTTATTTTATTTTATTGCAGTATTTTTGCTATTATCAAATATTTTTACACAAAGTATCTTAAAATAAATAATGATGTGGCAATTCAGACAAATAATTTCTGAATATGTTTGAAACTTCTTCGTCTTTTATTCTTTCCTACAACATATTTGTGTAAGACCGTATATTCACTTAAGTCTAAGTGCTGATCAGATCTACAAATGTTGAAGAAGTTCTTCATTGTACAGTGTTGATTATTTTGCCAAGATTTGATAGTTAATATTCTTAGTCAAGATTTTATAGTTAATGTTTAAATTTATTTTTATTATTGTATTATGTATTTAAGTTTGTTACTCATTTAAAATTTTTGCTTTCTATGTTTTAAAAATTGAAGTTGATGAACTCAAACTGCAATAGTATATTACAATATAAGTGAAGAAACTGATAGTTTTTGTAGTAATTTAAGATTATCTAGTTTACCAACAGCAAATCTTCCAGCTTTTTATAATGTCAACATTGTCAAGCATTTCTTTAATTTTGGTAACTCACACATTCAGGTTAAAAATTTGAAATAATTTATTGTATTTTTTATATGTATATTAGAAGAAAACAATTTGTAAAATATCATGAACTTATTCTCTAATTTTTACTGAAGTTTTCTTTTTCTGATATTTTTACTTATTAAAGTGTTTTATATGAAACTTACTTTGTACATAGTTAAATCCTGATGTGAATGCTTTCCAAAGAAAGTTTGTGAATGAAGTGCGAAGATGTGATGAAATGGAAAGAAAATTAAGTAAGATTTAACTGCTTTTCTTTTAATAGTTTTGTTTACAATTTAGAACCCTTTAAATGCATGGTGGCATTGCAGTGAAAGTGATTTCTTCATGAAAATGCTTCTAAATACATAATGGTCAAAACCAAAGCTTCCAAAGTAATATTTAATCCTATATAATAACTAGATGGCAGTATTACACTTATATTAATTTTTTCGATGACAAAAATAAACTATCTTTAATGCTTTTTTTTTAATTGTTTAAATTTATTATTTATTTTTAATAAATAAAATTCTTGAAACATTTCTAAGTTATCACTCAGCTTTTGTCATGTATAAGCTTCTGATGCAGAGATTTATCTATTTAAAAGATTCTTAAAAAAAGCTTTAAATTTGTACATTAATTTTTGTTGTTTTCAGAAGGATTACATGAGGCAGAATTTTTTCAGGCTTTCTGCGCTAACTTTTCCTTGTACTAATATCTTTCTTCAAGCTACTTTTAATTCATAGTTATAATTGCTAATTTAAAGCAACAAAAGAATTGTGTTTATTAGAGAATAGAAGACCTACTCCAGTAGAATAGAACTGTATTAAAATTATAAATGTAATATGTTTTTTTATTCTAATATTATGGGCGACATTCTCGCATTTTGTCTGTGGAAAAATGCAGTAATTATTTCCTTTTCCGAATTTTGTAAATCATCATTGTAACAAAAATACAAACAATGTAACAAATTGTACATTCATCTATACATATTTCTCTCCACCCCGAATCAGAGCTTCTTATCATATTTCTCACTCTATTGGTGGCCAGATATTTTGCTTCTCTCCATGTCTTTCCTATTGTTTTCAATTCACTTAGAATCCTCCTGAGCCAAGTATTTTTAATTTTCCTTTTTTTCTATTGCTCTGAGTCCCAATCAAAATCTTGTTTTACTTTAAATTTTTTAGGTTTACGTAAGAACATGACTAATCCATTTCCATTTGCATATTTTAATTTCTTGTTCTATCTGTTTCTGTTTTGCTTTTGTATTTTTTAATCATTTTAACTTATTTTCGACACCACTACATATAAATGATTTAAAAGTTCATATGCAATGCCACGTTGTTCCAGCTCTTTCGTGGTGGGGCTTTTAAAATGTAGTCAAAATTAAAAAAAATTCTGAAAGCTTTGGTTTTTAAATGTCTACCACTCTATAAAATATTTTACAAAGAAGTAGTAGTTATAGTAAAATAATGTTTTTATTTGTATTTATTATAATAACTGGAATTGAGTTACTAATATTGAAACTTATTATGTAGCTGTTAGTATAGCTTTAATGGTAAAGTTATATTTTACAACTACTATATTTTTGCCTCTCCTATCTAATTGAATATTTTATTAATCTATGAAATTCATGTGACTTGTTTTGTTTTTATGTTTTCTGTAGTGATTAAAAAATATGCTGCTAATTTTAAATGGTTCTCTATATTTAACTTATTGAAATTGTTCACTTACTTATTTAAAGGATTCTTGGAGAAAGAAATAAAGAAAGATAGCATTGCAATGATGTCTTTCGGAGATAATCCTGAAGCTCCACAGCCCAGAGAAATGATTGATCTAGAAGTAAAAAGAAAAAAATAATAATTTACCATTTTAAAATTATCAAAGATTGTATGTAAACTTAATTTTACTTATCTCCAGCATTTTACCTACAGATTGCTCTAGAACATTCTAAAAGTCTTTATAAATGTATGTCAAATCTGAGTTGCAAAAATATTTTAATTAGTATTTTTGTGATAATGGACTTAAAGTAAATGAAATAACAGTGTACTTACCTGGTATATTAAACATACAACATTAAGAAAACGCCATACCACAAGAAAAACTTTTCGTCTCAAATTCTCTTTCACCTCGATAACTAGTTTAAAATATAGAAATAATTACTTATAAATCTAGAGTAGTCCATGAAGTTTCAAATGACGAAAGGAAAATTTCAAAATATCAAAATGAAAATAAATTATGAGAAGATAACTTAGGATCATACAATGGTAAAGTTCTGTTCCAATAATTTGTTTGCATTTTGATTTTTTTTCCAACAATTGAAACTTTATGGTTAACTAAGTTTTTTTTGTGGTATGGCGTAAGTCCACACTTAATCTCGATATTGGTGATACTCTTTTATATCATTGAAATGCATCACCTCTTTAACCAAATATTGCATCTTGTATGTAAGTAAAATGCATATTTGATTGAAAATAGGAACTATGTCAAATAAAGATTACACAATCCCTGTTGAATAATTTTCTAACCCTGAATAATTCTTAATTATGCAGAAAATCGGTTAAATTAACTCTAAGTGCTGTTTATCCACAATTTCTCACTTAGAATTTTTCTTCGATATCTCATGACTGATTTTAGCAACTTTCAAAACTCTTAAAATGTCATAAAGCTTAGGTTGTACTACCTGCTTCCCACCAACTACTGATTTAAGGTCCGCGGGAGCATCTGAACACAATAAAGAAGTAAAATCTTTTTTTTTGTTGAAAATATATATATATTTATATAAATTTTTAATGATACATTTAAATAAATACTTTTTGGATATACTTCTTTTCTCACTGACTTATATTAATAGCTATTCACTAATTCATATTAGCAAAATAAATTTATTGAGTTTTCATTCTTAAAGAATTATACATCGGAAATTGTAAAATCGGGATTTTAAAATGAAAAATTGAGGTTTGTGTTCAGGCGATTTTAAAATGAAAAGCCGTGATTCATATTCATGTGATTTTGAAATCAAATATCAAGATTTGTATTTTTCAATTTGAAAATCAAATATTCAGATTAGTATTCATGCAATTTTAAAATCAAATATTGAGATTTGTTTTATCGAGATTTTTAAATCAAATGTCTCGATTCGTATTCTCACAGTTTTATAATCAAAGATTGAATTTTGTATTCACTGAATTTTTATATCAAGTATCAGAATTTGTATTCGCGTGATTTAAATAAATATTTACTGTACTCAAAACGTTGATAACATTCTGTGGATAAATGCTCCTTACATACACCTTTTTCTTGCTCAAGCATGAGGTATTGTTCAATTATTTAAAAAGTGATTTTGGATTTCTATTTTCATCTTTTTTGGTTATTTACAAAACTCATCCCTGTGGTATGAATCAATATAGATCTTCAATAGTCAACCTGCTGTGCAAGTAGCCCTTCAATCAAAAAGGGCATATGCATTATGTTTTAGTGACTATCATTCTAAGTTTTTGTCTGATTTAACCAGTTTTTGGCATCAAGAACCCACCACAGTTTTTGGCATCAAGATTTAACATTGCACATAATATAAAATTACATAAAACTGTGAATTATTCTTAAAAACACTATTGCTTATGAAAATTATACTTTTTATTGTATAAATGAGCTTAAAATTATCAGAAAATCTTCTTTATGCTTCTTGGTTTTACTTCACTCACAGGAATTTTTTTCTCTTATTTCGCATTAATTTATTAAAAGATTTATTAACATTTATTTATTATTTATTTCACATTTATTTATTAAAAACTTATTGTAATTCGTTTTTGTTTTCAGGCAACATTTGAAAAACTGGAGAATGAGTTACGAGAAGTAAATACAAATGCTGAAGCATTGAAAAAAACTTATTTAGAGTTAACTGAGTTGAAACATATTTTAAGAAAAACACAACAGTTTTTTGATGAGGTAATTATAATATTTGTTTATGAATTTCTCACAAATTGCATTTTTAGCTTTAAAATGCAAATGATAGATGCTAGATAGATTTACATATTAAACTTGCTTTGATGATGTCTATTCTATATCTTCTGTATTTTTTAATTTACTGATATGCTAATTGTTATATTGTAGTTGTTGCCATTTTTTAACTAATGCCATCTAATTCAACCTAAAGTAATATTTTCAATTTCAATATATATCATTACTGTTTCTGTTTGCATTGACAAACTTTCACATAATTAAGTACATCACAGTCATTAGATAGGATATTTAACATCACAGTCAATGGATAGGTGATTTAAGTCTTCTCTTACAATATAAAAACCAATAAAAGTGCATTAAAATGAGAAGCTTGGAAAACTGATTCTTGCTGTTAAAAGTAATTTAATTAAAACAAGAAATAAAATTAAATTTTATCCAAAGGATTACTAAAAGAAATTTTAAAAAAATCACATTGTGATATGAATTGTTTTTTTTACCAGTGAAAATCTGTTTTCAAAGCTTTACATCTTAATGGATTATAAATTGTTCATGGAGACTTAAATCAGCTTGCTTTTAATTATGTAATGGCTGTATTGTACTTAATTATTTGAAAGTTTAGCATAGTAAATGGAAACAGTAATTTGAAAAAATATTTTTGAGATTGATGTTATTTCTTTGGATTGAATTTGATGGTATTACTTAGTGAATGGCAAGTGTGACACTGGGGTTGTGACCAGGATTATTTAATTAATAAAAGATTGACAAAGTTTATATTTTAACTTTCAACATAGATTGGTTACCAGATTAATCCCTAGTTGGGCACTTTCCTAGAAATTAATGCAGAAACAATAATTTAGATTAATTAATTTACACCTTAAACTTTAAGATAAATTTAGAACAAATTTTGACATAATTTAAATTATATATTTTATACAAGGGAATATATATCTATTTTTTGCTCAGCTTGTAGATAATAAACATCATTATTTTTACTTTTGCTCCTAACTTTACTAAAATAGTAGTTACAAATCCTAACATTTATTTTATTTTTAACATGGCTTTTCACTTTTATATAAAGTAATTTTTAATACTCAGTTTTTTTTAAAATTAATTATTTGAAATTCATTAATCTACTAATGTTCTGCCTGGATGTGATGTCTCTACATTTTGTTAAAGTAGCTACTAATTTAAAATCTTTTGCAGTTACATTGACAGAATGTTAAGCTGAGAGAAATAAACTGATTTAGTGTATTTGCAATGCGTATGACCCTGTATTTAAAGTTTTTTTCCCCTGTTTGTATGTATTTATAAAATCATTGTCTGTAAAAGAAATTTAATTGATTTTACCTTATTCTGCTTTAAGTAATGCTTTATCATTTTTGTTTTATTTATTACATGCATAGAGATGTGTGTGTAGAAAAAAATATGAATTGCTGTTCAAAATTAAAATTTGCCGATTTTGAAATTGTTCTTTAATTTGTTGCATGCTGTATCACTATTACATTGCTCATTAATTTTAGTGGGTTTCACTGCACAACTTGCATCAGGTGTCTTACTGCACATGCTAAATGTTATTCTTCAGGGTTGAGCACTAGTAACAACTTCTTTCTCTAGTAACAGCATTCTCTTCAGTTAACAGCAAAAGAGTTTAAAATAAAATGATATAAAATTTAAATGCAGTGTATTTTTAAATGTTTTAGCAAATGTAGTTAGTTAATGTAGTAATTCATGAGTTCATAATCAATAGTTTGATTTACAGTTTCTAACAGTTAAATTGCTTAGTTTCTTAAAGAAGCTGGTTATTTCTTTATTTATGGTAATTAGCTGTTAGAAATATTTTACCTGGCTGTTCTGTTACCTCACTGATCCTATTCAATATTAGCTAGGGGTTTGCTATATTTAGATGAACATATGGACTTTCATTTTCAATGCCCCCTGGTGATCTTTCACATTTTTTTTTTTATTGTCACTCCAAACTTATTTTACAGTGCCATTTGATCACTTTTCCTTCAGTCTATGATATTGTTTTTGTTTGGCATTGTACCTTTTAGTTGTATATTCAATCCATTTGCTTTTACTTGCATTCAGTTTCTTTTTCTTTCTAAAATTAAAATATAATATGTTTCTCATCATTCTGAATTGTTATGTTTTAGTCAATAGTCATGTCTTTGAAGTTTGAAGACTTTAACATAGTTTTATATAACAACCCCTTTAAAACTATAAACAATTTTTATACCCAATCATAATTATTTATTATTTTAATTCATGCCTATTGAGATTTTTTTTTAAGTTATAAGATAATATATTAATTATGACAATACGGTCCTTTCTTATAAAGTTATTATTTGAAAAAAATATATGTTATTTGCTTAAAGCTTCTTGAAATATTATACTCAAAATAAATAAATGAAATCAGTGCATTTCAAGATGAACGAGCCCTGGAGTTAGAAATACATAGGAAAAAAACAAAGGGGGAGTCAATAACACAGAAAAGAGAAAGAATGAGGAGTAAAGGGGAAGAAAATAAGGAGATGGCAACAAAAATTCAAATTAAAAATAACTGAAACAAGTTTTTGCACAGTAGATAGAAATTATGGATTAATTTTTTTTCTTTTACAACATTGTCTTGAAAATAGCAAAGTTTTCTACAAAATGAAGTTCTGAATTACAGTTTACATTTTAAATAATCTTATCTTAAAATTTGACACTAAGAAAAACACTCCTTCAAAGTTCATGTAAATAATTCAAGAAAAATGTTCATTGACGCATTTTTCTTGAATTATTTTGGTTTACTTATTATATGATAAGACACAGTTATTGCTAGTCGTATAAAAGAGGCTCTATTTCTTTTCTTTTTTTCTGTGTATGAAATATTGGTGCATCTTATATAAGTTTTAGTTTTATAATGGATTCTTCGTGACAATTTTTTATTTTAATGCAATATTGCAAACAAGTTTTTCAATCCCTTTTACTGCTAAACTATTGCTCATGAACTTGATCATAATGTGAAAAAGAAATATAAAAAATGTGTGTTTATAGTATATAGGTTTAGAATGGGGCCTTATTATTTAACTAATTTGCAATTAATTTTTATTTTACATTTTTACCTTGCTTATGCACAAGTTTCTATTTAAGTTTATACTTTTTCATAAAGAAAAACACCTTTTTTACTTTCTTAGTCATTCCTTTTTAATTTTCCATTTTGCACTTTATCACCATTTTGCACCATTTTGCACTTACTCTGCATGCTATTTTCCTCTTGGTTTTTGGCCCCAATTGCATGTGACATAGTAGAATTTGTTAATAGGCTGAATTTCATCATGTGCAGATGCACGATCCAAGTATGCAAGAGGAAAATGTCACTCTTCTTGGGGAAGAAGGCTTAAGATCTGGTGGTCAAGCTCTCAAACTTGGGTCAGTTGTTTAGCTATATTTTTAAAAAATTCTTATACAGTAGTATTTTTTTTCCAAACTTTATTATTTTCTTCTAGAAATTTTTTAAAGAAAAACAGTATTTGAGTACCTTAAACTCAAAACAAAGGTTTAATTTTAAATTATTTGTACTTTATTTCTGAAAATAATGGACTAGATTCTGTAGTAGACAAATTGCGTTTAAATTTAAAAATATTTGTATATTTAACTTTTTGAAGAAATCACCATTTTAACTATGTTATTTGTACGTTTAAAATCATTAAAATTTAATTAATAATTCTCTAACTTTGACTACATATTTATATGTGTTCAAACAAAATAGCATTTGTGTAGATTTTCAAATATTAAGAATTTAGACTACAAACACTTTATATTTTTAAATAAAACTGTGACATTTCTTATTGACATTTTGCATCATTTTCTAAATAAGCATGGAAGGCACTGACTGGAGACAATTGAATCTTCTCTAATAGTCATGTACAAACTCCCAACAATTTTAAAAGTATCATATTATTCACTGAAACCTATTATTTTTTTGTGATTAGTGAGAACTTTTGAAGAACATTTTTAATTTGAATGTCTTAACTGTTTTAAGTAGCAATTTTTAATTAAAAAAAAAATTATCATGTAAGAATGTGGGATTACGTTCTTAAAGGTGCTTTACTTTTTATTAGGTGAGTTACAATAAAAAAAGAAACACCTATTCAATTTTTTAATGTTTTACATATGTATCATGAAATCTTAGCGAGCATTACAAAAAGTGAAAAATTGAAATGCATTTAGCAAATTCATTTTCTCAGGAAATACTGTATGTATGATGAATAATAATTTTAAAAATATTGCATCCATATTTTTATAAAGCTTTGCACTTAGTGTGCATTTTAAATAAGTAGCAAAAATTTAAATTTGTTATTCTTTTCTATATGGAAAAAGTATTTAGTAATGAATAATCAATGAAATTTTTTTTATTACTGTTTTCAGACAAAAATCGAGTTATTTCAACACTCTCTGAAAATTTTATTATGTCTGATTCATCACACTAAAACATTAGTTTAATATTTCACATGCTAAATTTTGTTGTATTCGTTACGACCATAATTACAGGCATAGGATTCTTCTGACTTATGATAAAATTGCCAACTTTCTATTATTAATCTGTTATTGCTTTATTATTATTTTAGTCTCTTTTAGCATGTTATATGAAGTTTAACTGTTTGTTAGACTGTCAATGTATATATACAGTAAAAAAAAAAGCTTAAAATAAGTATGTTTTCTTTTAGTACAAAATTGCTTCTCGTGATTTTTAATTTATTTTCTCATAAGTGGATAGATATTTTCTAACTTTTTTTTACTTTTTTCCCCATTATCATTCCTGTTATTGAAAGTACAAATAATGTTAAAGTTGCCGTGATGTTTTTAGAAATTGTCAATATTCCAAGCTTCAGCACTCTCCTCGATTCGATTCGTTATTTTTGTAAGTTTTGTTGCAGAACATCAAACTTTTATGTATTTTAATTAGAGTTTTAGAAATTCGAAATAGAATAATAAAAGCTAGTAAATTTTAATAAAATAATAAATATATAATAATAAGTAAATAATAAACTTATTAACCGCAAACTTTATCTCCACATAGCTATTTTGAGTTTATTACAACTATTATATAACCCTTTCTTTTTAGATTTGTAGCTGGAGTTATTTTGAGGGAGCGTTTGCCAGCTTTTGAGAGAATGCTATGGAGAGTTTGTCATGGCAATGTATTTCTACGCCAAGCGGACATTGATACACCTTTAGAAGACCCTGTTACCGTAAGATTACTTTTGAATTTATATTAACTAACACTTGTTAGACTTTCTTGATTGCTCAGTGGTTAAAAGCTGTTATTATGATTGACTGGGGTTCAATCCTCTGTAGTAGCTTGCAGCCTCCCTAGCTCTAGATCAATTTGTGCCATCTTGTCTGAGAAGGCTGTGCGAATGCTGACCACATTAACACCACACCATTGGTCATAAAATTGTGGAACCTTAACCTACATGACCTCTCTGTCTCATTGTGGGCTTTTGGAAGGATGCTTTACTAACACTTTAATAAACTTCGTACACTCTAAAGGTTAAGAAATTCAATGCTAAGTGTGCATTTTTTGCCTATTTAATAAATGAACACATTGTTTAGCATGCTTAATAATGATGGATAGGATGATAAATTACACCTTAAATAAAAAAATACATTTTCTTGTTTTTATTTTCTGTATGATAGACTGTTCAAATATTATGTTACCAAGTTATGTGTATGAACAGACCTTATGCAAAACACTCCAACTTTATACATTCAAACTTTATATTTATTATTATTACTATGTTAAATAAAAACTAAAATACTTTTGATTTCCTCTTTATTCGTTAATGGTTTGCATCTTTTTGGACAAGGATCTGAAATATATCATTACCAGATACTGAATAATATATTTCTACTTATTTTTCGCACTTTTTTCTTTTAAAAAATGGCAAGTATCAAATTAATTTATTTATTTGTTTATAGGGTGATCAGGTGTACAAATCCGTTTTTATTATATTTTTTCAAGGAGATCAATTAAAAACAAGAGTTAAAAAAATATGCGAGGGGTAAGTCAATTCTTTCTTTTCTTTTTTTAATTTGTGCTTCTTCGGCATCTTGCTTCGGTCGGAGAATAATTTATTTATATATTTTTTAATAAAATCTCCAATAACTTTTTAATACAATTGCTCTATTAATACCTTCCCTTATTTTACAATTGAAGAATTTTTGTAACTGTGTTTAAGTTAATTTTCTTAGTAATATTTTTTTGAAAAAATTAATTAAATTTTTTTTGTTGTCAGAACTATATATTATAAAGTTTTAATTGACTTAATTACTAAGTGATATCACTTTTTTTAAAGTGAAGAAATATTGAAGATGTTGAAAAATAACTGCCTTAGGTCACTGTTTTATATTTTGTCACATATTTATTTAGGTTTCGCGCAACTTTGTATCCGTGTCCAGAGACTCCAGCAGACAGACGTGAGATGTCCATTGGAGTCATGACGCGTATTGAAGATTTAAACACTGTAAGTTCTTCATGCAGCTGTCATTACACCATAACAATCTGAACTGACTTCTTTAACTATTTGTTAGACCCAACCTAAATTATTATTTGCATTGAACTGGTTACTTACCCCGTTTTGCTATGTATTCTGTTTTAGTTTTAAAATAATTTTCAAGCTTTTTAACAAACCTGAATTCAAGTCACTTAGAGATCCTACCAGTATCGATAATTGCTGTAGCATTTTCCTCATACCTTGCTAATGCATTTTTGTCAATATTGTGTCCACTCTGAAATTTATGTTAAAAAAACATGGCATGGATATGTCCATCAAGAGAATGACAATGTTGGACATAAAGCTAATTTTGATCATGCTAAAAGTCCTACTTTTCCTGTCATGTCAGATCATCTTGTTTAGTTTATATGAATGCTTATTCTCTAGTAAATGACCTCTGAGTTCTTTTGGCCCTACACTTGAAATTTTTTTTTTCTCCCTCTTATCACAGCGACCATGGTTTGCTACCATGGCTGCTCATGTTCTTTCCTAAATTAATTTCCCTTAGAGATTAATTCAATTTTTTTGTTAGTATTTTTGCATCATCTTGTTTCAATTTCCGTTTTGTTAGTTTTCATTATTAATGTAATGTTATTCTAGCAATGAGCATTGTTTCAAGTGTTAAAAATGCATATAAATTTTTATTTTTTAAGTGCTTGGAATTATTATTCTATGTTGTGAATAATGTTTTTATTGCATTTACTTTATATAAAAAAAGGAAGTTTCTGTTTATCAAAGTTGTTGATGATGTTCAAAGCCTTTTTTTTTGTTGTTCTTATATTTTTGAGCCTAAATATACTTTTTAATTAATTGGATGTTATGCATCTTTAAGTACCTAAATGTTAAAGATTGTACATTCCTCAAAGAAACTAACATTATGTAAGCTTTTAATAGCTCATTATTAGAATTGATTTTAAATATAAGCAATGCAATTGTTTTTTTAAATTATTATTACTTATTGTAAATACAGTTCACATCAATTCTATGGTATATTATTGTTAATTACAGGTTTTAGGTCAGACACAAGATCACCGTTATCGAGTGCTTGTTGCTGCAGCAAAAAACATTAAAAGTTGGTTTGTAAAGGTCCGAAAAATCAAAGCCATTTACCACACTCTCAATCTATTTAATTTGGATGTCACACAGAAATGTCTTATTGCGGAATGCTGGTGTGCTTTGTCAGATTTAGATAAAATTCAGATGGCTTTGTGTCGGGGAACAGTAAGTAGAGTATATATATATATTTTTTTAATCTGTTTACATGCCTTTTTTGAAGTTGCAATAAATATAGAGACCATTTCTAACAATATTTGGAATTTGTTATATGCATTCATTATTTTACAGGGTTCCTACACGGTCAGGAAAACCTGCAAAAGTCAGGATATTCTAAAATTAAGCTAAAAAGTCAGGATTTTTCTCACATATTCATAAAGTCAGGAAAAAGTCAGGATTTTTCTTACATATTCATCAAGTTAGGAAAATAAAAAAAAACTATACATAGTTCATTCAAAGACTGACAGGCAAAAATAAAGTTTCAAGGAAAAATTCTGTAATTCAAAATATGTAATTTTCTCATAATAACATTCCTCTTTCCCTGGTAGAACCTGTCCTGTTAGCAATTTTCCTCCTGTTTATCCAATGATAAGGAATTTTTGATAGGGTTGCTAGGTTTATTGCTCTTTGTGTGAATAACTGGTTTACAGACAGCAGTGGCTGAAACAGCAGCAGAAAAAGCAAAAAAGGAATTTTTACTGTTTTGTGATGCTGCCAAAAAGAAAAAAGAAGAGCAAAAGAGTTTCTTAGAGTTTAATCCACAGCAAAAGAGATTAGATAATTTTTTTTGAAATATTTGCACAGAGAAAAAAAATTTGAAAATTTGTGGGAGGTTATAAAATTTGTTCTTCTCCTCTCTCATGGTAACACACCAGTCGAAGGGGTTTTTTCAATCAATAAAAGCTTATTGGTTGAAAACCTCAATGAATACTCGATTATTTCACAAAGGCTTGTGTATGATTATGTTTCATTTATAAATGGAATAAAAAACATAGACATTAATGAAAAAATGCTAGATGCTGTAAAAGGATCTAGAACAAGATGGAGACATGCATTAGAAGCAAAAAAAAGAAAGAAAAGAAGAGAAAGGAAAAACAAAGAGAATGAAAAAGCTGAAATTTCTAGAAAATGAATAAAAGAAATTGAAATTAAGAAAATCTAAATTGACGAAAACTGCTGAAACAGAACTGGATGTTCTTGATTCAGAAATTGTCAAACGACAAAATGTGTTGAGAAATATTATATAACTTAGGAGCCCCTGAGTTTCTCCGGAAGCTTACAGTATTACAGAAATAAATTTAAAAATACTGGAAAAAAAATATTTTTGATTTTATTTTTCTCACAATTTGCATAATTTTTCTATCTGAATTTTTATTTGTATATAATTAACTTTTCTTGACTTTTTTCCCCTTTATATTTCAATATTATCTTTTAAAAGAAAAGTCAGTTTGAAGTGAATTGGTGATTTTTAAAAATTAATAACTTAATGTAACAAATGTTCTAGTATGTTTTAAGAGTAAATATTATTTGAGGATACTGATACATATCTTGCAGATTTGATTAACCCTTTATATCCTGACGACACTCATGCATTTGGTTCCACTTAACATTAAATAAAATAATATTTCCATAATCCAACAGATTTTCTTGATCTTTTTATTTAAATAGTTTTNGGCCTTCTATGAAATATTTCTTCATGTCGTTCTCCTTGATGCCAATTCTGATTATCATTTGCGTTTGGTAATACGAATTTTATTTTAATATGATAACTATCCAAAACTTAATTTTTATTTGTTTCATTTATTTATTGCATATTTGGCAAAATGAGGTGAAAAATAATAACTGTAACCATAGCAATACATATTATAGCTTCCTTTAAAAAAAAATAATTTCATCATTTACAACGGGCAAATCTAAGCTCTAGAGCAGGGATGGGCAAACTTTTTTGGTCGAGGGCCAAAAATCGAGAAAAAAAATGTTTGGTGGGACAAATAAAACTTTCAAAATTTAAAAAAAAAAGCGATATACAAGTTTTAATTTAAATATTTAGTGAGATGAATGAAATTGCGATTTCGTTTTTAAAAGTTCCTTATATTAAGGTTCGAAGCGAGATGTGCCTATTTTACGGAACAAGGCTAAATGCTTTTCTGTTAGTCCACTTCTGAAATGATTCTTTCTAAGGTTCAAAGTTGAAAACTCTTGTTCACATATATAAGATTAAGCAAACATAGAGCGGATTTTCTGGGCATGAAATATTAAATTTTGGAAACTAGCTTTTGGTAATGATTTGTAAAGCTTTGGCATATTTAGAAACAACTGCTTCAGATGATTGTTAGATTGTCCGCTCGTTGGATCTTAAAATGCGTAGTCTGCCAAATGTGAAGTACAATTTACCTATATTAGATTCCTCGAGAAAGACAAACGCTAGTTAGAGCCAATCTAAGACTATTCTATGAAGAACTTCTGCTTTCAACATTTTACCAATTGAAGTTGTCTGTGCTAACTATTTCCATCAATTTATGTTTTGTAGAACAAAAATAGAAAAAGTAAAAAGTTCATCAGTACTTTGTTAAAAAAGGAAAAACAGAAATAATTTTAAATAGTTGACAAGAAAATGGATGTATATTGCCACTGATCGGCAAATTAAAATTATATCCGCGGGCCGGATAAAACCTTCCAGCTGGCCACAGTTGGCCCGCAGGCCGCAGTTTGCCCATCCCTGGTCCAGACGTTTAAAAAAAATCATTGATCGCAGAAGTTTCCGAAAATCACATTTTCAAAGGTGGAACTTAAAAAACACAGTTTATTTTATTTGTTTGTAAGGGAGAGCCAGATAATTTACAAGCTATATTCATGATTAATATTCATTTTTTCCATCAGTAAATAGTTATTATGATCGTTAACTCAAGAAAGAAAGACATATTTGTAAATTTTAATTACTTCTCCAGGTCATCATAGGTATGTGTAAATGGTATAGGAATGTGTGAAATTTTAAATATATTTTAAGTAAACCAAGAAATATTGAGAAAAGGAAAAAAACTTGCTTAAATTTATTTATAATTTTTCAATTTAAATTTAAATATTTTTTTTTTTTTTTAAAAACTCAAGAAATTTTCCGGAATTTGGACTTGAGCTCACAATCACCCCTGATCTAATCATGATAATTAAAAATATGTTTCACAAGTTTTCTGAAAATATAATTTGGGATATAAAGTGCTATTACGCAATTCCACTTTAATATATAAGTGTTTATCCTATTCAATCTATGATACTTATGACTAAGTAGCATATTATTACTAATTGAAACTGCAATGTTAAAAGTTTTGTTGGAGTGGGAAACGGCGGGTCAGGAATTTTATTGTAAAAGGTCAGGAAAAACCTGCAAAAGTCAGGATATTGTTTTCTCAAAATAGTGTAGGAACCCTGTTTTATGATTAGTTTATTAATGTGTAATTATTTGTACTTTTTGATTAATTTACATTGTTTCAGAAACGTTTTTAGGTTTAACACATAAGTTTATTTTCACGAAGGGTTATATTTTTTGCATTTTCTCTTTTCTTTTTGATAATAGTATATTTTTAATAAAGTTTATTACATTGTTTTAAATTACAACTTGTAGAAATAAATATTTTTCTTTATGATTCTCAGAAAATTATAAAAGTTTTCCCTGGTGAGTTCTCACGTGTACTTTAAATACATCCAACTGTACGGTTAATACATAAATTATTTCTATATTTATGGCAGAAGGCTGACTGTAAAAACAAGAAAGACACTTTTTGACGAAAAGTTTTTCTTGTTCTTTTAACTTTTATTTAAAAAAAAATATAAATGCCTTAAAAATTATTTTTTTCCTCTCCTTTTTACAAATTAAAAACAAATTACTATATTTGAGGTTTGACATTAAATTTCTAGTGAAAAAAAAGTAATAATTTTCAAAAGAAATTAAACCTGAAACAATAATAAGGTAGGTTTAATTAAATGTGTTGCTGTTTTAATTTTGATATTAGCGTCTAAGCGTAGAGCCCACTGGTAGTATTGTGCTGAAATTTCCGTGCTATGTGCTACTTCCCCATTAATTAACTAGAAAAAAAAACTGATTTTGATAAAGAGAGGCCCCTTGCTTTAAGTTTAAAGAGAGCCTGAATTAATGATCATAACTTTAAAATAAACGTTAAAGATTTTTATATTAATTCTTCATATAAAAAATACGTAAATTGTCTATGTCCTACCTTCATGCATGAAGAAAAACACGTATATAATTTGAGAATATAGAATTTAAATATGAAGATAAAAAATTTATAACCTTAAACTTTTTAAAAATTGTATTTAAAGAAAAAGTGTTTCAAAATTGTCTTAATTTTAACAAAACAGCAAAACACAATTCTTACCCCCTTTTATTGTACAATACAGAAAAGCAGCTTTTGTATGCACCATGATATTTACATAGTTGCCAACTCTTCTGGATATTTCCAGTAGACTACTGGATTTTGCCAGTTTCTTCTGGTCTACTGGTTTAATAAAAATTCTTCTGGTTTTTTGTACATTTTAGAAAATTCCCTAAAATTGAGTAAGTTTTCTACAAACTCCCTATTGAAATAGAATTTATGCACAGATCATTGCTTGCTTAAATATTTAAATAAGTATTACTAATACATAATGAAGCGAGCCTCATTTATATATATATATATATATCAGTTTAAAACTTTTTTTGTTCTAAAATTTTTAGTTTATTTTTTTCAGAATTTCCTTTTAAAATTAATAAAAAATATTTTCTACTATCTTTGATGAATTAAATGATTACTATTCAAAATTATGAGTAAACATAATGCATAACATTTGAAATCATTTAATGTTAATATGTTATATGAAGTTCATTTAATGTTAATAATGTATTTTATAAAAAGTATTTTTGTTCTTTAGGAAATTTGTGGTGGAAGTGTTCCTTCTATATTACATAGAATGCAGACAGCTGAAATTCCTCCTACCTTCAACCGTACTAATAAATTTAGCCAAGGATTCCAAAATATTGTTGATGCGTATGGTGTTGCCAATTATAGGGAAGTTAACCCTGGTAGGTATTACTTATTTCATTTTTAAATATGGAAAAATTCAGTGCAGAATTTACTTTTACAGAAAACATAATGATAGATTTCTCATTCTTTTAGCTGAGATTAAATTAGAAAAATGTGTAAAAGTGTAAGAAAGTTGTACTTTTTTAATTATTTGAAGTGATTTAACTGTTTAGTAACTTGTATTTTGCCTGTGTTTAGCTGTGTTACTTTAATTTTGTTAGTGTTAATTATTAAATACTGTATATGTGAGTTGTAAAAAATAAATATAAAACTACTCATATATTCCAACCCTTAACCCTATTAAACCCTTGAAATTTTCTATTGTAATTGTAAATTACAGTAAGCTGTTTTGTTATTTAAGAGTCCCTTCTTCCCTTGACTCAACTGTCAAAGGGGTGGAGATGGAGAGATAAAATTCTTTTAATCCTCTTTATTTAATTTTTACAAATAAACTGATGGCGGATATTTATTCTATTCGAAAGCATCTTTCAAATCATGTAAAATACAAGGCCGTCACCTAATCAGGTTTTGAGATTCAAGCATATTGTAATTTAGATCCTCTTTTACATTTTTTTGACACAATTATACAACAGTTTTGCATTTTAGCATTAGTTTTTTAAAGGTATACATTTGTATGTTTTTAAAACTTTGATAAATGACTTTGTTTTTATGCAATTAACATTAAAATAATCATCAGAATTAGTTTTCATCAATTTAAACTGTAACAAAATCAAATTTTAAAAAATCAAAAAACTGACAAATGTGTAGTTTAAAATTACTGATTCAAAATCACAAATCGAAGGTTCTTATTGCTTTAAAGTTTGGAGAAAGAATTTTATAGAAATTGTAAAAATTATACTCTATTTCTTTTAATTCCCCTTTATTTTCCACCTGTTTTGAAAAATAGTGTGCTGTTGTATAACACTATATCATCAAAAGATCAGAAAGGACAAAAAAACATTTAAAAAATAAATCAAAATTTTGATCTAAAATCCAAGATGAAACAGGTAGTCCTCATAAGTTGGCTGCTATTATTTTGAATACATCATTTTTTACCACATTGAAATTGAAATTCTGCTTAAACAAAGGACCACTTTTAAAAAAAAATTCAAAAACTATTTGAAAGAATTGAATGCTTAATCTTTCTAAATTCTATTGTTTTACTTTATTATTATTTTATTCTTTTTAATCTTGATTTATAATTGAGCTTAACAATTTGGACGAATACTGTACACAAATAGCAAATAATAATAACAATTGGCTCATTTAGTTTGGAAATAATTTAAATGTTTTCTTTTTGTGCTAAGTAATTTCACCCGTTTTTTAATTTATCTTTTCATGATTTCAGTTGATATGTATTTTTTTACTTTTTGTTTCCCTCATGCTGCAATTTGAGTTATTTCATTTCTACTTGCGTATTATCCCTTGATTCTTTTAATTAAGTCCTTATCTCTTTACCTTAAATTCCTTATTTACTATCTTTTAAAAGTACTAACTAAATTTATCCTACAACCAACAACATGAAATATTCTTTACAATAGTTTTCACTTAATAGACTTAAAATTGAAAAATGAATGTGTTGCTTTTTATATGTTTACACTATATATATTTTTTAAAATTATATTTCTTCTTTCTTGCAGCTCTTTTTACTATCATTACATTTCCTTTCTTATTTGCTGTTATGTTTGGAGACGCTGGACATGGTTTGTTAATGACTCTTTTTGCTGCTTGGATGGTTCTAAAAGAAAAAGGGTTAGCTGCTGAGAGGACTGATAATGAGGTAAGCTTTGTGAAATTTTATTTGGAAAAAATTTTAATATTATTATTTCAATTTGGTATGCTATTTTAATATATTTAACATTTTATAAAATATTTTGTAACTATTATAGCTATTCATGTTCCTTATAGTAGTATTAAATGTTCTAACCTTGATTTTTTATATATTTTTGAGTAATACTTCGATCACATAAAGTTTAAAATAGTTTTTTTTTTATTATTTCCGCTCTATAAAATATCGCATATCATATTTTTTTTGTACTCTATATATTACATTAAAATTTGTGTATTACCTTTTTGTGAAGAAACATATTATTCTTTTTTTCCTGAATTCATTATGATATGTGCAGTTTTTAATGCATAGTGTAATTAATAATTATTAAGCATTGTCTTCTAAGTGTTAATAAATCTACTCATTGCTACTCTGCAAGTAGGCAATTGCTGATTTTGAAACTCTTCAGGGAAGAAATTTTTGATCCAAATATTTATGCAATAAGAGTCATAAGAATCATTATGCACATCCAAAATAAAGTGATTTGTTCTGTCTTAATATTTTTCAAATTTTGGAGTTGATTAAAAAAATAACATGTTTTAACAAATAAAAAATTATTATTATTTTAATGGTTTATAATAGTATCAAAAATAAGTAGGAAATTTTTTTATCCCACGAGAGTTTTGTGTCTGTTAACAGTAAGAGAATTAACAAACAACTCTAACATTGGTAATGTTCTTTATGTAATGAACTTTAATTCGTGTCTGAAATGAAAATGTGTTCACTCTTCCTACAAGGGAATGTGTTCACTGATTTTTGTTATTTCTGTGATTTTTAATTTTGTTTAGAATGTTATTCTTGAATTTTTTTTATAAACAGCTATCTAACAACCAAGTTTTTTTTCTTCTTTATCCAAATATATATATTTTTTAATTAAAAACGTATTTATTGTAAGACGATTATAGTTGTCCAGAGATTTTTTTCCAATATTATTCATATAATTAATAAGATCTGGTCTAGTAAATATGTAATTCTAACTATAATAATTTGGCGGCTATTTTACCATATATTTTAGAATCATGTTCCTAATTGCTAAAACTGTAGGAAAATTTTGTATCCACATTTTTTTCCTGTTCATGAACTAAATTTTACTACATTTACATAAGATTGCATAATGTGTGAAGAAAAAAAAGCTGAGCTATATGTTATATCTTTTGTCAATATAGATAAAAACTTGCAAAAGTTCTTTATCATGAATAACATGGACTGAAAATGCTTCTGTTGCAAGAAAACATGTAGTTCATATTCTGGATTAAATGTTTAGTCTGCATTCTTTTCCATTATTTGTTAAACTTAATTGTATTTTGCGGAGTTTAAATTTGATTTTGAAACATTTTAATACTGTATGTATTGTGATTTAAAATTGGAATATGATTTTTTTTAAATGAAGTACAATATTTCATGTTTTTAAATTATTTTCATTTTTAGATATGGTTGACATTTTTCAATGGCCGATATATTATTCTGTTGATGGGTTCATTTTCTATTTATACTGGGTTGATGTATAATGATATATTTTCAAAGTCTTTCAACTTATTTGGGTCATCTTGGTTTCCGACTGAACGCTTGTAAGTATTGCCCACTTTGTGAAATATTTTACTTATTAAAAATATTAATAAGTTTGCAACCATATTAGAATATTTGAGTCTAACATTTTGGTTCTCAAAGTAACACAGTACCTTATTTCTACTATGTAAACATAATACTAATCTGATGATCAATGCTTCAAGTTTTTTTTTTCAATTATTCTAGAATATATAGTAATTAGAAATTTGTATGAAATAACTTGTTTGACTTATAGTTTTGTTTAAAAAAATGTCCAGTATAGCTATTTTTTTTAGATATTTAACACAGAAAATAAATATAAAACATGAAACTATGTTTTAGTTGAGCTATTTATAACAGATTTAAGTTATACAGCAGTTATTAAACCTGCTGAATGAACAATATTTTTAAAGCGGCAATGTTTAAAATAACTTAAAGTAGAAAAATTGTTTCATGTTTTCTATAAGATGCATGATCACATTGATTTATTCAGCAAAGGCATTTATTAATAAAATGTGCTTGGGCAACTTCTTCAGGCTAGGCACAGCATCTCAAAGAGAAATAACCATTTTTTTTCCTATTTCTAAATAACCATATTTTTTGGTTAACCTTTTTTCCATGACCCCATGTTAAATTTGTATCACAAATACATTCATTGATTTAAACTTATTAATATTAAATTCAAAAATGAGATGTTTCATTAAAATTAAAATCATCTTTATTAAACAGGTATATTTATTAAAAAGGATTTATTTCAATTTTTTGTATGGGTTCATATTTACAGTTTTTATATTTTAATTTTAAAGCATTTTAATGTAATTTCCTCTGTAGATTACTTACCTATTGAATTTTAATTGCTATAATTCTTTTCTTTCACATTTCTACTTCACTTACTCAAAACTTTTTTTAAAAAAAAATTAATGAACTTCCCCTCATTAACGAATATTTTTTTTAATAGTGGCACCAAGTCTTTACCAAAACTTTATCAGTTGAATGCTACAGATTATGAAGGAACACCTTATCCATTTGGTGTTGATCCTGTAAGTAATAAATCTTTTTTGCATCAATTTTTTAATTTTGGTAATTTAATTGTTACTGTACAATTTACTGATCTTGTTCAGATAAGAATAAAGCTTAGCAGGGTTATCCATGAAAGCAACAATTCACCAGCTGTCTTCTGATTTCTTCAAAGATGTTTAACAGAGCCTCTAATAGTTTTTAAAAAATATTCAAATAACAAAAAGTTAAGAAAGGGAGAGTATGATGATTACTCGAACATTTTATTAATTGTTCATTAAATTGATTTCTAAAAAAAGAAGTTAACATGAATTATACAAATACATTTTTTTCTAATTTTTATAAACGAATATTTTAATGTTCTCAATGAAGTGTCCCATTTTTTATATAGAAAAAAAAAACTGTAATTTCAAAATAAAGAAATGTTTTTTTTTTCATATTTATTATTTGTAAAAACAAAATATTTTTATAATGAGACTGAAATAGTATTGCATAGTTCAATGAAAGAAATGGCTTTGTTTCCACACTTGCAAGATTAGTCTGTGATCATGTAATTCATTGTTTTCATTTTAGTCTGATTTGATGCCAATGGAATTCACTTTGCAGCTTTTTAAGTCCACCAATATTCTTAATTGCTACATCTATTTAATTTCTAAAATTAGTCTTGAAGGCTGAATTTTTCAGTGAAAAAACTATTTTTTTATTTTTGTCTTTTTCTTTCTATTTATTTATTTCAAAAACTTTCGGGTTTCCTCAGTTTTAATGATCACTCATACTAAAGTTAAAAGTTTTTGATAAGGTTTATGATTGTACCTGAAGGCAGTAATAATTACATGGAGGAAATGAAAGTATTAGTTTTTTTGCACTGTAAGAAGACGCAAAAAATTTATCCACATCACTTAGTGGGGATTTCGCATTATGAGTTGCTTTTAGCAATTATTTCTATTTATATTATGTGATCTCAGAATTTTAATATTCTAATATATAACTATAAAATAGTGGTATTTTTTTAGTGTGTATTATATTCAATGTATCATATTCAATGTATATTTAATGTATCACCCTGCTCTTATTACTGTAAGAAATTGGCAGGAACCACTGTTTTGTCTACATTAATCCATCTTAAATGGAATCAAATTAATAAGAGACTTCTGTGTTTCAAAAAAAAAAAAAAAGATTTTATTTAATATTATAAGAACTTTGCATATATAAATTTTTGACGGCCCTTGTTAATGTGATGCAGCTGAACAATTTTCATCAAGCTATTATTTAAATTACTGCAAGAAATTAATTAAATGTTTTAATTTGTTTCTTCGTTAAATCAATTTATCTTGTTGATAGTTGAAAGGAGTAAGGATAATTAAAATTTCTGAATAACTTATATCTTGTTATTTCATTTACTGTAAGTCTAACTTATATGAATTCACTAATAATGTTTTAAATTTCTTAAATTGTTTTTCTCATTTGCATATTTCTGATATATGCCTTTTTCTCTCACACATTCTATTAGGTATGGCAAGTTTCTACAAATAAAATCATGTTTTTAAATTCTTATAAGATGAAAGTGTCTGTCATATTTGGAGTTTCCCAAATGGTTTTTGGAGTAGTTCTAGGCTTGTGGAACCATAGGTTGGTATATTGAAAACAATTTATAAAATAAAAAATTGCATTTAGTAAAAATGTACTACTTAGTATAAAATGTAGAGAAATGCCTTATTTATATTCCAGGGAAAGGCTGTATATATTTTAGAAACTTCACAAAAACATTGCATTTATTATGATTTTGTCTAGAATTTTTTTTAAAAAAGATATGATGCATGAAAAATTTCTTTTATAGTGTAGTAAAAACTTCATAATGAAATGGCTACTTTCTGTATCACTGTTTCAAAATGTTTTTTAACTACCCAGAGCTAGGTATAAAAAATGTACCCTTCTAGATAAAAATCTTTATTCTGTAATTTAAGTTTATAGGTTGAGCAAAAAATTCATTTGAAATCTCACTAATAAAATGCCCAATTTCATTTAAAAAATAACAGGATCACGTTGTTATAATATATATATGATCTTATTTATTTTTTTTTTAAAAAAAATAATTTCCATGGATGAGGCTCAAATTGGTTTTTTATAAGTTTTAATTAGCATCTTATAAATTCTTTAAAAAGTTTTCCTTCATCAGGATCTTGGAGTTTGGCCATTCAGGCCGTAGTTATCCTAGCAGTTTCATCATGAAAAAGTCTCACAAAATTAGTCTGTCCCGTCTCTTATTCAGGGATTTCTATACGGAGTAAGTTGCAAGAAAATTTTTAATTTAATCGAACATGATCTGAATGGGAAAATTTAACCTTCTTGATTTGTTTTTGCAAATGATGTTATGGAGACAAAAGGGAATTTTTAGAATTTTCTTAATAAGCATATTTCTAAGAACTATTACCCTATAACTTTAGAAAATAATCTTTTAATAAATGTCTTGACTTTTTATGGCTCTTTGTGGAAGAACGATTTCCATGTCTTGAAATTAGGAATAAAATCTATTTTTATTTATTTATTAATATGGAAAAACTCTTAGGAGACATTCTGTTTGAGACATACATATTAAATGTTAAATTTATACTATCTTTTTCTTTAAATGTTTATTCAATTTTAATACAAAAAGTAAATCCCGCACAAGATTTTTTCTTGGAATTGTGATTTCTACTTTTTTGTTATGTTCTGATTCCTTTTTTTTTTTCAATTTTTTTTATTCCTGATTTTTATTCTTTTTTATTTCTGAAAATGTCAAATCATCTTTATATCCATGTATTAATAAAGATTGAGATTAATCCATTTTGGATTTTTCAATGTGACAGCTTATTAGGGGGTCATTTACTGAATAAATAATTATTTCAAAGTTATATGCTATATCAATTAAAGGGAGATTTTTGTGATCAGGTTTGTTATCTAAATCTTTAATATTTGTACTAGTAATGTTATTTTTGTATAGTAATTTAATCTTCATTGAGTATAAAACTCTCTTAATTAAATAATGCTTAATGCACCTGACGTTCCCCTATTCTAATGTAATTTGAATATTTTTAGAATTTCATTTATTTGTTATAAATCAATCCTGTTATTAATATGTATTTAAAACTGCTTTTTAAAACTACATAAATTATTAAATTTTATACTTTCCATCCCCATATGGAAACATTTAAAAAAAAAAGACAACAAACTTGCTTCACACAAAATAAATCATTTTCATACACATTCTTTTTAATTTTTTTAAAATTTTATTTCAGTTTTCTGATTATTGCAATATCACTATCTTCATTATTTAAATTCTTTTTCTCATAATTTTTTTTATTGTGTTATGATTATTTCTGAGACATTCGTTTTTATTTTAAAATATTAAAAAAAGTAAACTATTCATATTTGTTAGGTATTTCAACCAGCCGCTAAATGTTATGTGTGAGTTTGTGCCTCAGCTAGTCTTTCTAGTCTCTATTTTTGGATACTTAGTTCTTTTGATCTTCTCCAAATGGGTTAATTATGATGCAACAATGGCAGGCTGCGCTCCTAGTCTTCTGATCATGCTGATTAATATGTTTTTGTTCAAATATCCTGAAGAACCATGCTACTTAAAAAATATGTATGCAGGACAAGTGAGTTAGTCTTATATATTCAATTTGTAATTAAAATAAAGTATCTGTTCATAAAATAATAGGAATTGTTTTCTATATCTATTTCTAGGTCTGTTTTTGATAAATAATAGAAATATTGTTATAAGGGTTGCCAAATACTTTATTTCCTCTCATTAAAGGTCCTTATTAACAATTTTTTTTATATTACTTTTTAAGAAAATAGACATAGATGTCCATAGAAAATGTGTGTAGTCCATAGAAATGTCCCATGAAATGTTTCAGTAAAAAAAAAATTCTGCAGAGAAACACTCAGAAAAATATTCTCAGTAGATTTACTATTTGAGTATATATATATTTAAGTTTTAGATCATATTTTTTTATTTATTAATAACCCACCAATAGTATCGTTTAAAGTTCTAAATTTAGCTCCAACATCGGAATAAATTTTGTAATTTATTTTTATCATTTAAATCAGTATGAACTATGATTTTAAATAAATTGTATATGATTAACAAATTGGGAAATTTAATGCCTTTTTTATGAATTTTTTTTAAGTTGGAAATTATCCATGTGTTCTTAAAACAAGTTTTTTTTTAAAAATTTAATTTCATTTTCATTAAACCATCATATAGTTTCAATAATAATCACTTCTAGTTTGTGGTTAAATACCTTTTTGTTGTTGAAAATATTTTAAAAATAAGTCGTCTTTATCAATAGTCCATTTATGTTTACCATTCTTATATAAACATTCTTATTAATCATTAAGTTACTGAATATTTTAAGAAGATCAATCTTTTTTAACATAGTATTTTTAAATATTTCACCAGGAAATTGAAAACTTGCTTTTTTAAATATATTTTAATATTTAAAATGAATAATTTTTTTTTTGCAGCATGTGATACAAGGAATGTTAGTTACAATAGCACTGTTATGTATTCCTTGGATGCTTTTATCAAAACCCTACATGCTGTACAAACAGTGGAAAAATACACCTTTATATGTAAGCATATATTGAAATCATTTATTCTGATTAAACATAATACTTAAAGTTACATGATATATGGGTGCTAAAGTTACTCTAAATTCAGCCTAAGTTAAATTCTGTATAAATTTGGGATCTGTGCAAATCATTAACTAAATATTGTTATTATATACTGTCTTAGACAAAATCAGTTTAACCCTGGAATTGGATTGGAACCTTCTAAAAAAAAATAAAAGAACTCTTAAGGTTTAAAATGCAATTCCTTTTCAGAATTTGAAAATTCATATTCCCAAGGGGTCTAGATCTATACTCAATTTTCTATATGCAGGAACCAATCCAGAATTTCTATTTAAATGTTTATTTATTTAAAAAATTCTGTGAGCAATTAATTTTTGTGAACAAGTATTTCTTTTAAAATATATTTTTAATCTATAACTAAAAAAAGTTTTTTTAGCAATAGAACAAGCATTATTCAAGGTATTTTTATTACTTTAATTAGTATTTTTCGAGAAATAATTAAATCTTTTTTGTGGTTTTGAGTGATTTTAAATACATTAAGATTAAAGAAAACAAATTGGCAGTAATTATCCATTTATGGGACCTGGAAATATTATTTCCTAGCAAATATCATAACTTGAAATTAAAAAAATAATTATTATTATTATAAAAATTTAGCGAATACTGTAAAATATTTCTTTGAACGTCATTCTTCTGAAACTTCTCATAAAATTTATCTTTGCAGATAAATCAAGATCCTGCTGCAGGTGATGGCCAATTAGGAGATGGTGTTATAAAAGAAAATCAACTCCCTGAACAAAATAAACCAGAAGAGTTTGATTTTGGAGAACTCTTCATTCACCAAGCGATTCACACAATTGAATACTGTCTTGGTTCTATATCACATACTGCATCTTATCTTCGACTCTGGGCTCTGAGTTTAGCCCATGCACGTACGGATAACATTATTTAAAATTACTGTCTATATTTGTTATGTTTAAGCTTTCTGTGTGCTTTTAATTATAATTTAATAGCTAGACTGACTTATTCACTTTGTTTTTACTATGATAATTTTGTTTGAAATTTAATAAACTCCATATTTTTCTGAAACTACGTAACAGAAAATTACATTAAAAAANTCCCACCAGGTCATATTCATTGGCAGTTGTGGATTACACATAACGAATAATGCTTTAAAACATGGTGAAAATGGGATATGTTCCTTCTAATTTTTATTTTCAGAAAGAATTGTTGCTGCATAACATTTAGAGAAGGTTCTGTAAATTATGGATGAATAATTTCAGAAACGATGTTTAATGAAGGAGAAGAGGGGGTTATGGAATATGGAATACCTAAGATTTAGCTCTGTCTTTCATGCAGCCTTCACATGGAAATACACAGGATTAAAGGATTTCACCATTAACACCTCATTACCGTTATAGTTATAGATTGTGCTGAAAATGATTTTGTGAATTAATATGTAAAACCAGTAGGGTTGTTTTTAAAAAAAATATAAATTTTAGTCCATGATACACATACTCTCTTCTCTCTATATAGGCAAAGCATTTAGGTATTATATTTGAAATTAATTATTGCCAAAACAAGTATTGTTGCTTTTAGTAAAATAGAAGAGAATAATTTTTAAAATTGGTCTTAGATTAAGGTCCTTAAAAATTTGGTTGAGGTCCTTGAAAAGTCCTTGAATTTCAATCTCATCATAGAGTGGGAACCCTGTAATCTATATTTGTTATCTTTAAGTTTTCTGTGTGCTTTTAGTTGTAATTTAATAGCTAGACTGACTTATTCACTTTGTTTTTACTATGATAATTTTGTTTGAAATTTAATAAACTCCATATTTTTCTGAAACTACGTAACAGAAAATTACATTAAAAAATTTCAGAAATTTACTAACACTTAAATTTTTCTGGCAAATATTTATTTACAGGTGATGCTTGTATAACATCTTTTGTGAAATTTCTTTTTCTCCAACAGAACTATCAGAGGTGCTGTGGTCAATGGTTTTGCGTCTCGGTTTAGCTGGAAGTGGAGGCTTTGCACTTTACCTGACTTTTGGTGCATGGGCAGTTTTAACAATTGGAGTATTACTTGTAATGGAAGGATTATCTGCATTTTTGCATGCATTACGTTTGCACTGGTAAGCATGTATTTCTTTCCATCCTTATAAATTTCGAGAGCTTTTAATTTTAAATGTTTGTTTGTTAAAACAGCATTTTTACTCACCAAAGTTATCTCGCTTTAGCATGCAAAAGAGGTTCACTTGTAAAAACATTTGACGAAAAATTAGATTTGATTGAACACAAATAAGTTGACATATTTTTTATCTCTATGTTTACTTATCCAATGTTTACTGTTTTAACTGACAAAATCCACTTTGATTATTGCTAGTCTAATTTTTTATTTTAGTCAAGCTGCTTTAATAGGGTTTCCTTTATCTATGTTCAAAAATATACGTAATGTTAAATTATATTAGAGCTATAGATCATTCCGAATTTACTCACGAAACGTTTAATGTCCCTCTGTTTCTTACGTGAAGTATGTTTAATTCTAGTTTTAACAAAATGAATTAACTTTAGTATTTCAATTTTTTGTGATTAATAATAGCATTATTTATAATATGTTTAGTTAAAACTTCATGTTTAATTACTTTTAAAAAGAAAAAAAAATGAAAGGAAAAACATACTGGAAATGACACTAATATAACGTTTAAATTTTTGTCCTTGTACTATACTATATTTAAATACTGTGATAGTTAAATAATGTTTCCTTCACTTATCAAGTTCTGCTGTTAACTATTTTATAAACAATCAAACTTCTAATAGAGGAAAAATAGTATTTTTCAATATTTTATTTTATTTATTTATTTATTTAGTTTTTTTTATGGTTAGTGCAAATAAAATTTATTTCCAATCATAATCTTGACTTTCTAAGCTAAATAAACTATCAAGCATGAAAAAAAATACATAAATAAAGATTTTTGACTAAATTTTCAATTGGACTAAATAGAGAGAAATAACTACTTTTGTCCAATCTGTAATAAAAAAAATGTAGGGTGTATTTGTTTCATAATATACTTCTAGCAGTATTGAAAATGTTCCCATTTTTTCAAAAGTGATGCACCCTGCATTTGTTGCTTTAGGTTAGATATGAAAAAAATTTCAGTCTAATTAAAAAACATAGTTTTTAAAATTTTCATTCTTTTTTTTGTTGTTATGTTGGTACAATTTATTTAGTTGTGTATTAAAATTTGAATAAATCTTTTCAACATATGAACTCTTAAGGTCTGGTTTCTTAGGACAAGCGCCTTATCTGAGCATCAGTGGGACGTCAACGTCCCGCTGACGCCAACAAAATACTGGTTTGTTAGCTCAAGGCCTGGTTTCTTAGAACTAGCGCCTTATCTGGGCGTCAGCGGAAAGTTGACGTAGAGCTGACGCCATAAAAATACTTTTTTGTTAGCTCAGCGTGAGCAGTCGGTCCAACGCAGACATTATCTCTCATTGCGCATGCGTTAATAACGTAAACAAATATTTATTTTGAATTTGTATTGATTTTGTTATTGTCGACCAGTGTTTTAGAGAACAAATAATGACTTTGTCCAAGAAAAAACACATTATAGCTGAGCTAAATGAAGAGTGCTATGTTTAATGAAGAAGCTATGTTTAATGTCAAAATCAAAATCTTGGCTGATTTCAATGTGCTGTTGGATGTTGTCCGCCATTGCTTCTGTGGTTAACGTCACGTTGTAATCCAACTGCAGTTGAGTTGGACGGCAATTGTAGTTCAAGATGAGCGTTCGATGACGTATACTATCAAACTCACAAATGGACCAATCAGAGGTTAGCGCTGATTTCCAGCTGACGGCGTCCTGTCCTAAGAAACCAGGCCTTTAATTGTTAACCTTATACAGTTAAGTACAGAATCTAAAACTAATTTGTTGTTTGGAAAAAATGCCGTGTACTTCGTGAAATATCAAGCAAAAGTTTAATTTTTAAATTTTGGTATTAATTTAGTACAACCTTGCCTGATATCCATATATATATATATATATAATGTATGCCTTTTTTTTAAATATTATTTTGTTTTGTTTTTTTAAGGGTGGAGTTTCAGAGCAAATTTTATGGTGGTATGGGCTACATGTTTGTTCCATTTTCTTTTGAAACAATTCTTCAAGGAGCAGCAGCTGATGATTAACATAAATGTTTTGTGGAGATTATTTAAACTTTACTAGTGTGATTAATTTTAGTCGTTCAAAACGAGTTATTTATGTAAATTTAGAGAACACAAAAATTTGCATTTAAATGGTTTATTTATTTACAAAATGAATTGAGCTTATATTTCTAAGTTAGCTTCATTTCTAAATTTCTTTCTTTTATTGTCGCCAAATATTTATACTTAGAGATTTCTTTGTTGATTTTTATCTTTTTTTTTCCTTATCTTTTTCTTTGAAATTTTATTCTTAGAGGATGATTTCTTTGAAATTTTATTGCTACAATTTTGCTTTTTTTTTTTTAATATATATCAAGTAATGTGTAGTTAGTTTCTATAACAGCTTTAAAATCAAAGAGAAAACATGTCTGTCATGAACTGATAGTGAATATGGCTTTTATATTTGCCATGACGTCTATAACTTATTTGCATTTGTGTTACATGTATCTCATTTTTTTCATGGTGTTGCAATTTGCATTTGTTTTTGTATGAGTGATCTGTTATTAATGAACTTTTAAACTCAAAAATTGTTTTTTTTCTTTGTATTAGTGTTCATCCACATTGAAACCGATTCATTATAAAATCTAAAAATGATTTAAATCAAACTTTTAAACTTTTCACTTCCCTCAACATATCTCTGCTCAGGAGGTACCTTCATTAGGTTAAAACCAAACTTGTGAAAACTGAAAATCTTAAAAGTATTCTTCCCTGCTTTTTTTTTCTATATTTTTGGGTAGGATTTCTTTCTTGGCTGTTTCAACTAATCTCAAGTATGAAATATAATATACATTTGCTTTAAATGTAAGCAATTCCTGCTCTTGTGACATCTACTTCCAACACAACGTTCCCATTTAATAATAATAAAATAAAATGAAATATGTAGAAAGTGGAGCAGAAAGTAACATGAACAGTATTGGAGAAATTTAAAGGCCACAATTAGGATAGAATAAAGTAAGCAGTAAAAACTAAGAAATCCAAAAAATGTCAAAACTGCAAGAAGATTAAAGAAAAAGTTTCATGTTTAATTGCGCAATAAAGCATATTATTTTAGAAAGGAATGAAAAGAGCAAATTTATAAATAAATTTGTCTCAAACTAAATTAAGCTGATTGAGCCTTCCCAGAACTTTTGAGTTAGGGTTTACTAAAAAAAAAAAAAGATAGAATTAAAAATTAGTATGATTCTTTGAACTTCTTATTATTCATTTAACTTATTAAGTTTTAATTTTAAAATTAATTTTGATGTATCAAAATGTCTTAAAAGTATTGTTTTTAATTTATGAATCCCAATGTAATGAAGTGTATAGATTATTATTTCTGTGAAAGAATTAAGCTTGTCACCCAACTAAAACTTTCAGAAAAAAAACCCATTATTTTTAAAGGTTTTGTTAAGGGAACATGAGGGGGAAAGGCACACATCAGTTTTAAATTAGAAAATAGATTTAGATTTTTTAAAGATATTATAAGTAATCATACGTAAGTTTTAGCTTGGATGTCATGAATGAAAAAAAATATTGAATGTAGNGACTTTTAAACTCAAATTTTTTTTTTCTTCTTTGTATTAGTGTTCATCCACATTGAAACCGATTCATTATAAAATCTAAAAATGATTTAAATCAAACTTTTCACTTCCCTCAACATATCTCTGCTTAGGAGGTACCTTCATTAGGTTAAAACCAAACATGTAAAAACTGAAAATCTCAAAAGTATTCTTTCCTGCTTTTTTCCCCCTAAGTTTTTGGGTAGGATTTCTTTCTTGGCTTTGATTCAACTACTTTCAAATATGAAATATTATTTACATTTGCTTTAAATGTAAGCAATTCCTGCTCTTGTGACATCTACTTTCCCATTTAATAAAATAAAATTAAATATATTAAAAGTGGAGCAGAAAGTAACATGAACAGTATTGGGGAAATTTAAAGGCCACAATTAGGATGGAATAAAGTAAGCAGTAAGAACTAAGAAATCCAAAAAATGTCAAAACTACAAGAAGATTAAAGACAAAGTTTCATGTTTAATTGCACAATAAAGCATATTATTTTAGAAAGGAATGAGGAGAACAAATTTATAAATAAATTTGTCTCAAACTAAATTAAGCTGATTGAGCCTTCCCAGAGCTTTTGATTTAGGGTTTACTAAAAAAAAGAAAAAGAAGATAGAATTAAAAATTTGTATGATTCCTTGAACTTCTTATTATTCATTTAACTTATTAAGTTTTAAGTTTAAAATTAATTTTGATGTATCAAAATGTCTTAAAAGTAGTGTTTTTAATTTATGAATCCCAATGTAATGAAGTGTATGGATTATTATTTCTGTGAAAGAATTAAGCTTGTCACCCAACTAAAACTTTCAGAAAAAAAACCCTTTTTTTTTAAAGGTTTTGTTATGGGAATTCAAAAGAAACATGAGGAGGAAAGGCACACATCAGTTTTAAATTAGAAAATAGATTTAGATTTTTAAAAGATATTATGAGTAATCATACGTAAGTTTTAGCTTGGATGTCATGAATGAAAAAAAATATTGAATATAGCATAATCTCTGTGTTTTCAAACAATCGAAGGAAGAAAAAATGTGATTTCTTTTTATTTGAACATGTTCTCACAAAAATCGTTTACAAAGTCAAGGCTTCCTTACTAAATTATTTTAGGATATTAATTTTTTTATAATATTACTATTGATAAAATTTGTAAAAGATGTAGTTTTATTTCCTGCCAAACAATCGTTTAAGGGTATTGAACTAAAATTCCACTTTTTTCCCCCTTTTTTTTAAATGAAAAGATTTCTCACTCATATTTTTAAAAGTTTTAGAACAAGTTAACTTAAACTTATTGGAAGGGAAAAAATCTCAAAACCTATGGTTTGCCATAAGAAAAACGTTAATTATAATGTCGGATTTTGCTTTAATATCCTTAAGAGTTTAAGATTTTGTTCTGATTTTTTGACAAGGACAATGCTTTGAAAAATTATAATTTGTGTGCCAATTCTTTTTTTATTTACTTTAATGAAAGCTTATTTCAATATAGTACCTGTTATAGTAATTAAACTGATAAAAAAAATTATTTCCTGTGTTCAAGATAAAGTTCATTCTTAAAATCAAATTAGTACCCATTGGCGCTAGCAATGCATATTTTTAATAATTATTTTACAATGGATGCTAGATATTTGCTATTATTTGTGAAAAATGTATCTGTCAGGGCTGAAATTTCTTTCAATTTTAGAGAAGCAATCTTCTTTTTAGTGTGGTAGTTTTTTGATATTGCATTTAATAATCATAAAATTATACTTTTTTTATTGATAAAAAATTAAAAGCATAGTTTAAAACCTTAAGCATATATTCATATTCCCCTGATAGAATTAAAATTTTGAGACGGAAAAAAAATTGTGCAATTTGTTTTCTTAAGAGATAATGAATATTAGCTACAAGACCATATGATAGGCATTTTCATTCTGCTTTTATAATTTTTTGAATAAATTATGCTTTTACATTTCACAGTGATATTTTTTTAGGTCATTGAATAATGTTTTATTTTTTGTCATTTTAAGTATAAACATGCATGTATTCCATTTAAAGAACTATTCTTTAATAATGGCTCTACCACTTTATAGCATTTATTAAACTTAAAACAAGTGTTTAAATAGATTGTCCAGCAGTTAATCGTCTGCTGTTTTTCTGTGTCGTGAATGCTCAATTTATTTCATTTTCTTTTTCCTGCAATTAGTTTGGAACCAACATTATTTACTCTTTTACATCCATTACAACTTGAATAATATGAGATGATTTGATGTAACTAAAAAAAATTCTTATGTTTCAATTATCACTAATAAGCAAACCCATTTTTAATTTAAGATCTCAACAATTATAGCCTTGTTTAATGATTTAACTTATCTTGATTAGTTACTAGTACTTTGTTTGATTGATTTATTTTACAGCGGTAACAGATAAGCTAGGTTTTTGATGTACTGATTTGAAAAATAATAATAGAATATAAATTCTGTATTTTTATTTCACTTACTGTTAAACTGTACGCTATTTATAACAGTTAAATATATTAAGATTATTCTGTTACTTCCAACAGTTGTATATCTTTTAAAATAAGATTTAAATTGTTTGATATTTCTATCTATCTTATTATTTCTGGAACTGTTGCTTTGATGTTATCTGTATTACAGATATCATGCTTGTCTACTTGTTTTCTTCTTAATTTATTTTTCTCTTTCCAAAAAAAATTCTTAAACCACTGGCTGTTTAGCAAATGGACAAAATTAGGAGAATGTTTCTCCCTAATACTCTATTTCCTTCTCTAATAACATGGAAAATCCGGTTTTGCTATACAGAGAAGACTGCAACTTAAAATATGATTTTTTAGGTGCAGAACCATCAGTGGGTTAAAAAGATTTTCTTATCTTTGCATTCAAACCTTAATAAATTAACAAGCTCATAAAGCAATGTTCAATAAATTTTCCTACAGTGTTTATGATTTAAAATATAACTACCAGAGACTATCATGTGGTAGTCTATATTAGACTTATCTTGTAGAATAAGATATTATTGAGAGATATTATTAATAAGATATTGTTATTAATAATATATTGTTATTAATATCTTATCAGTTGCATGGCAAGAAATGATTCATAAAATTATCAAACAAGGTCTTTAAGGCTAGAAGTTTTAGAAAACATTTTAAAATCATCTTCAAAAATAAAATGTGAAAGAAGGTTATATTTTTTAAAGATTATTATGAAATAATTTAGATTTGTGCATTGCTTATTGTTTGAATATAATGTAATAATTTCTATATAAATAACTTTGCAGGATGTTAATTTCTTTACAAATATTTGTTTTGTCTTGCTTTAACAGCTAAACGTACAATTTCTCTTTAGATTAGAATAAATAAGATTTTGTTTTCTGATTTAATTGTATATTTTATTGTAAATAATGGTTTTCATTTATTTATGCAATTTTTCATGTTGATTGTGTAATTAAGAATGCTAATAAATAGAACTGCAATCAAAACTGTGTCTGTTTTATTATTTACCAAAAATGTTTGGTAATTCAGGAGAAAAAAATGAAAAAACTCAACTGTTTCACATTGTTGGATTTTTTATGGTAATTAATATTTTCAACAAATGCAATTACAAATCTAGCAATTTTTGGGACTCATCTGTTTCATTTGATTTTAAAAAATGGTCGATTCCAATCAACAAATCGTATGGATTTTTTTAATGGTGAATTGAGGAATCGTTCAAAAAATTACTTTTGTACAAAAATGTTAAGCTGCATATTAACTATGCTTTCGTTTCGAGATTATTGAAGCATAACTTTGCCTTTATTTGATCAAGATTTAAACCAATTAGCATTTGTTTATTTGATTAAGATTTAAGCCAATTGATATTATAATGAGTTTTTGATGCAGCATTACTATAATAATTTTCTACACATTGATATCAAACTATGAGTTGTTAAGTGCTCCCTTAATCAAATTATGCTGAAAACTTAAAATAATATTTTTCTAATCAAAATTAATTCCTTATTATTTTGCTATAATATGTGCTTTTATTATTATAGTTAAATCAAGCTAAATATACCTTTATTTATTGTATTTTTTTTTTAGTTTTGTTGTTAGTTAAGCCATTAAAAGATGACCTAATTTTTTAAAAATAATATTGCTCTGATTTTTTTTTTCTTTTTCGGCCTACCAAAAGACCTGAGTGGACATTTTGTAAACACTGTATAAAATGTTTAAATCTATTAACTTTTAACTGAAAAATCTGCACTGGAAATGTAAAAATTAAAGTATATTAGTAAATTTGTGATAAAATAGTTTCACTTTGTGTTTTATCGCTTCTTCCTTATTTTAAAAAAAATGTCTTTGTTTTTTTTCATAGTGTAAAATGTATGTTTTTGAGACTACTTTCATCTATAAGCATACATAGTGGCAAAGAAGTTCCAATTGCTACAGCCTATAAATAAGCTACAAAATTAAAAACTACTTGGTTTTGATTGCCAAAATGATTTTTATTATTGTACTAGCTGAATAATCGTTCTTAGTGCGGCCTTGAAAAATCAAAATCAGTACTCCACAACATTACGAAGTCATGCACAAAACCGAAAGACAAATACCGCCACAATTGGGTACTTTTTAACTCAACAAAAAGTGAAGTGATTATGCCGAGCCATGAGATTCAAATCATATTTAATTGGATTCCTGAAAACACCGTCACGCGCATGTGTCGAATCTGATTGGTTTCTGAATCAATAAATGCCACAATTTATCTACGATGACGTCACTTGCAAGTATATCCAATTAAAGCTAAAATAATTTCAATGTCTTTTCCATTTATTATTGTTCGTTGTCCTCCCCAGTGGCTTTACCTAATTAGATTTAGCGAAACACGTTATAGTAAGCTTACCCCATCAAAATGAAAATTAACTTCATTCAGCATAATGTTGCCACATGGAGACAGATCACGATATTTTACATTTATCACAATCAAGCATTTTTCGTTTGTACTTGTACCTTCGAGGAACCTTAAAAGCCTCTTTCTACAAAATCTATAATTAAACTGAACTGTATTGACTCAGTTTTAATAGGCACCAAATTTACTCATAAAGCGCCAATTACTATAATACCAGTAGCGCATATTACCAAACATAATTAAGCATCATTGCCGTGAATAATAGTATGGTTATTATTTTACGTATCTCCTAAACAAATTAGTACCATTTCTCCATCAATTTTTTCTTTTTAATACGTAGCTTACTGTTTTTTTTATTTGCATTTATTACCTAAGTTATTTGAACATCATTGGCGTCAAAAATAATATAACGTTTTTTTTTTCATTTTTCTCCTAAACAAATTAGTATTATTTGCTTAATTAATTTTGCTTTGCAGTGCAGAGCTTATTTTTATTTTTTTTAAATTACAATTAGTTCCTACCACCAAAATTAATTTAACATCTTTGGCGTTAAAAAAGGCATAGAGCTTTTTACTTTTCTCTGAAACGATTTCCATTCTTTTCTTTCGCTATTCAATTACTAGCTAATTTCAGAATTACATAAGGATCATTTGCATCGATAAGAGTTGAGCAATTTTTTACGCATCTCTTAAATGAATTAGTACTATTTTTCTATATCCTTTGGTTTTTAGTACAATGGTTTTTTTATTTCAAGTATTTCCCATTATCAAACGTAATCAAGAATCATTGGCGTCAATTATATGAAAATATTTTGCATTTCTCCTAAATGAATAAAAACTATTTTTCCATTAATTTGACTTTTAAATGCATATTTTTTATTTCAATTACCGCTGATTTTATATTGTTTAGTTTTAAAAAAAACACGTTTTAAAGACATGACTACAAATAAAAGGATATAAAAAAATAGCTTTAGGAATACTAATCTGATAACATAGTCCTTTTATCCCACTACGTTTATGTTGATTTTATCTGACATAACGAATAAAAACAAGTGAATGTTAAAGAACGTGCAATAAACTCCTGGCAGCTATCAAACAGTAAAATTCACTGATGTTATGTAAAAAATTATAATGATTTAACAAAGAAACGTAAAACTAATGATAATGTTTTAAAAAAATATATAGAATTGTACACAGTTTAATTTTTATCGTCATAGCAATTTCTAAGCCAATAAAAAAAATTCCATTTTTCAAAGGTGTCTCTCGAACGATCTAATTAAAAAGTTTTGTTCCAATGTCGATCTTCTCCGTTCTTCGAACTATCAGTATAGTATAACATTTTATCGCTCTAGTCAAATATTTTAGGAGTCTATAAAGAACAAACAGACATTCATTTTTATATACATAGATGAGCGTATTACGTATTAATTTAAATTTTTTAATGTAAATTCTCAAGCAAGAGAAAACATTCCACAAAATTAAATTTTTGAAAATCACTCTTAATCAGGAAATTATAGCCAGCTTTTCGATCCGTTTAGTTTTAGACCAATTATGCCATTAGAATACCCCATATGAGAGGGTACATTGAATAAAGTACAATGTAATTTCTGGGAAACGAAGTAAATGGGCAAAATAGCCCCAAACAACCATTTAAAGAACTCTGCTTCCTTTTAATGTCCACAAAAAATTTAAATGAATACATTATTATTTAAATAAAGACACAAATTTGAAAAGACTAACTAATAGATACTTCCAAAAAAATTAGCCTTGGTATCTAAATATAAAATTTAATCTTTACTAAAATTCAGTAAGGTAAATAGTAAACTCAAAAATCAGAATTGATGTTGACAAGGAAATTTAATAAAAAACAATAAAATTAATTAAATGATTTTAACCTGTTTCAAACAGTGGTCCGAAATAAGACACTACAAGTTTTGAAACTACTGTAGTCGCTACTTTTTTCGTTGTAGTGTAGTGTGCCACTTTTTAAAAAAAAGTAGTATTGTGTTGTGGGATAGAAAAAAAACAGTAACTAGGTAGCGATTCCTGGAAACTACTTTTGACGATGGTTTATCAAAACAAGGCTCTAACTCAACTAATTTTTCGAATTGGATGGGTACAAATCTTTGCGAGTCTATCAATTGATGCAATGAAAATGACCCTGCGGCAGCAGCTGAGCGTTATCAGGAATTACGTATAACTAATATTTAAAATAGCCATTACGAAAACTAGATCATTAATTATAATTACTTTGGTCTCACTTTCACATGCGAATGTACACTCGTGTAACATTTATGCTGTTTAAAAGAAAGGGAACGTATTTTCAACATACTTAATTTCTTAGAGGGAAATAAAAGAGCATTAAACAATTAAAAAAGTTTCAGATAATTTCGCATTTCTTAAATTGAATACTGGTTGTCGATTGAAAAATTGAAGATCAAATGAACAAATTCGAATTTTTTTTTTTTTTGAAATAACAAACTAGCTTATGTAAACAGAAATAAATATTTCTTAATAACTATTAATATTTAATATAAGTTCGCCTCCTTTAAGTAGTGAAGCAGTTACTAAATTCCAAAGTAGTTTGCAGGTCTTACATTTAAAAAAAAGTAGTTGTAGTTAACTACATTTATAACGAAGGAGTTGTAGTAAATAATGTAACTTCAAAAATAATGTAGATATTCCGACCACTGGTTTTAAAATATATTTTGAATCTGCTGTTTATGTAAATTTCATTTTTATCATCAATGCCATGTAAGCAATTTATTTCAAAAGAAGTTTACTTTTGATTAAATTTTCATTCTTTAATTTTGCTTGAGAAATAAAATTAAATTAATATTAAACGATTTAAATTTTATTTTAATAGAGTTATATTTCAAAAAAAAATTTTTTTATACTGGTTCTTACTGAAATAAAGATTGCATGACACGACCGAATAAGAACAAAATGTTATACCAAACTAAATAAATAAAGTTTTCTAACTTATACTTTTGCAACCTTTTAACGAAACTCTTAAATTGCAAAACCAATATTCTTCCTCCAACTCTAATGATATAATTATACTGCTTAATTTTCTTTGATTTCCTCTTTAATGTATATAATAAGTTCTTTTAATATGATTTATACACGCAATAAAGAATTACCTAAACTGCGTATCATCTGAAAATTTGTTTCGAGTGCTTTTTCGAATTAAAACGTCAATAATTGTTCTCAAAGAACATTTATTTCTAATCGATGAGTCACTAGAAGGTCAATTCCTTATTAATAAATACGCAGAAAATTTCGTATATAAATAAGTTTTGACAACGAAATTTTATAAGAAAGCTTCGTCAAGATTGTTCTGAATAGACTCGTTTTGTTCGATACCGAACAGTTCAAGATGCCTCCCGCTATAACCATGTACAACTTTCCCATGAGCCCTCCTTGCAGAGCAGTGCGTATGACAGCGAAAATACTTGCCATAGATTTGAAACTTGTAGACTTGGATCTCTTTAATAAGGAGCACAAGAAACAATGGTTCGTAAATGTAAGTAGAAATTTAATTCAAATTAGTTTTAAAAATTCAATTTTTTTATTTTACTTGTAATGTGCAATTTTATATGTAAAAAATGCTCTAAACCACATAAATGTCATTGGAATTAGTATATAATTTTAGTTGAATATGCGTAAATTACAATGCACTATTAAAAGAGATTGTCTTTTAACCATTAAAAAAAAAAAATCATCGTCTGCCAAATTTTATATAGTAACTGTAAAATGCTATTCCTGAACTGTAAAAACATTTTGTAAAGTTGCTACTAAACCAAAAAATATATTTAAAAAAAAACTTTCATTTTGAGACTTAATTGGGTTTGAAACAAAATATTCTGAAAGTTTTGATACCAATATTGGTGAAACTGAGACGATGGTTAAGAACTTTTTCCAGCTCCGTGAATGATCGAAATCAAGAGAATGTGACTTTCACCGGTGAATGACATAGTCGCTTTGGTGAATGTCCAAAATATTTGTTATATCCGATTTGATATTAATTTATTCGTAGTCATTATTACATTTAAAAGACATTTTAATATCTGCTGAGGATAAATTATTAGAAACATCAGTGTTCGGAGTACCGGTTAAATGTATACTGGGCCGAAGCACTTGATCTTAAAAATCATTGATGTAGGGCATACCGGGCAGTGGTACTGAACCATAAAAATAAATTGATGTAGGGCAGGCAAATGTATACCGGGCAGTGTATAAGTCTTGTAGCAGAATATTCTGTTTTATTCCACTGTGCAGCTGCACAATGGGCAACTATTAACAACTGCCTTTGCAACCAACGGAAAAAGCCTGATTGAAACACGTCATCACAATTTTGATCATTAGGAAATGGAATGGCTCCTCCTCTTTGGTAACCTGACTACTTGCTTGTGAAGTCAAGCACTTTACGGTAGAACAATTTAACGAGAACCGATACCGTTCACCCTCGTTCCATTCGCAGGCTAATCAAAGAAGTCACCCACCCGCTCTCTGAGCCCAGCCAGTAATGCTCGACCCAAGAATATATAATGTGAGCACTTATATATTCTTTGGCGCGACTTCGCTAATCTACTCGGAATCGTGTCTTACTATCATTTCACAGTAGGGACGAAAGAGATAAGAAATTTCTTTTCAAGAGCCATGTTATGCTAGTGGTCCCCAAACTTTTTAGTTGTTATTCTTGACTAAAATTTTAGTTCAAATTCTTCTGACCCGCGAAGGAATACTGCGATAATATGAAGCAAAGAAACAAGATGTGATAAAGCTCGATTCGCCTTAATGTCCATGTTATATAGAATAAAACTTTTGCAAAAACTAAATGCCGCTATCACATAGAAACACTTTTTAAACTTGGGGAAAACATAGGTTTTATGAAAAAAAAATTTTTTTTATCTAGTTTAATTAAAAATATAAGTTTACTAAATAATTGTGTGAGCATGATGAAATAACACGTTATCATCCTTAATGTATCCTTTTGATTAAAAAAATCCTTTTTTGATTTTTCTTTTTTAAAAAAAAAGAAAAGGAAGAAAAAAACAATGTAAATTATTTTTTAATAAATTTAAAAAAAAAAAAACATAATTCTTCAACTGCTACGTTTTTCTGATAATTGTAACGAAACGTAAAAATTTTGACGTCTAAAAAAGCTAACTTTTGAACCCTCAGAAACGTTATTTTTTAATTTTTTAGCAGTAATATAAGTTTGTAAAGTTAAGAAAATTCCAAAAATTTGTTCAATGAAAAAAGAAAAGATTATGATCAGATAGATTCTCACACATTAACTTTGAGGTGTAGAACGTAGATAAAATAATTTAGTAGTCTAATTAAAAACCGGGTAAGCATTTTTTAACTCGAAAAATTTAGAATCTTCTAATTTTAAAATTTTCACTTCTCAAAAGCTAAACGAGCGATTATGGTCGAATTTTATCTCTTAAAATTAAAATATTTCAAATGATGCATAAATTCGTATACCATTTAACTCAAAATTTGTTGGATCCTTAATTAAACTATAAAAAATAGTTAAAAAAAGGTATTTATCCGTAGCATAATCTTTGAATAAACATATTTTATAATTGAGTACTAACGCTTTTTTTGTTGGCATAAATAGATATGCTAAAATAAACAATAAACTCAAATTTTCGACTATTTTCTGACCAAACTGTTGCGACCCTTTTTTGAAAGTTTATAACTTCTTCGGATTCAAAATTGAAATAGAATAAAGAAATGGAAAAGTTGCGAGCCATAATTGAAAGGTTTCTGCTTGCTAACACAATTCTCCGGAGGCGATAGTCGGTGCGAATTTCTTGCAACTTTAAGGTTCAAAACATGAATCTTATTTCCGTTTAAATTGAATTTTAATATCATAATAAAGTTTAAGATGTAATAATTTGCATGATAATATTGTCAAGCTAGCGTTTTATTACTATTTATTTAAATATGAGTATTATCGTTCTACACGGTCACAACCCTTCTAAGCAAAGCTAGACACACAATTTCATTGCCCGGGTCAATTAAAAATTCGATATATTTTTTGCTCTTACATCCCCAGTCATAAGAATTTACTTACCATATTCTTTTTACATATACGTAAAAAGAATTTTTATCGAACATGTCGATGGCAGTCTTTCACGAAAGAATATTGGATGTTGAAAATATATATTTGCCGATAATAATGAATACATCTGATAATAATGCTTTTTTGTTAGTACTACATTTACATTTATTTAAACTTATTAACTCTTTATTACACAATTATTTAGCACTTATTCATGCTTAATGCTTTTATGATACTATTAATGATAATGTATTATTAATGATACTTATTACTTAGTACTTATTACTTATTTATTTATTAGTATTAGTATTAGTACTTATTTATTAATAATGCTTAATACTTCTGATTCATACTTAAAATCATTGTTGCAGATAATGATGTAATTAAATTTTTTTCGACAGATAAATAATACATAGAATCTTAAAGTTTGGCTATTTAAAAATTTCACTCGGACTTGTATTTTGTAAGCTGATAAGTCCGACTGAACTGACTGGCTAGATATGCAAATACTTTGGGATTTTTCAAACTCTGTAACATTGTAGTGTACGCAACCGTAAGAACTACGAAGTGCAAAGATTTATATAATTTCTATAGAATTTCTATAGAATTTCTATGTCTTATTTACTGTTTTGAACCATTCAAAAATATTTGCACATTTTTTAACTCACCACATGTGCGGTAAGATAGGATTTTTTGTTTTTCAGATAAATCCCAACTGCTTAGTTCCTACGATTGACGACAAAGGATTTTATTTAGGAGAGAGGTACGTCATTGAAGTTTTTAATGTTATTTTTATAATTCTTTATTTTATAACCGGGGTAAACCAGCTGATCCGATTCCAACTACCAATGTTCAACTCCGTAGCGTGATAATTTTTTTAACCCAATCCGGAAAACAAGGGAACTCCTGGATCTAGAGAGAAATTTGCCTTCGTGGAGGACTTCTTGATGCAACTAGCCCGCAGTTGAGTTACATGGAAAGGAAAACCACGAGAACCTCCCACGGTTAACCTGACGGCAAGGGGACTCTAACCCAGGATCCGTCTACCACAGAAGAAATTTTACGTCAGCACGGTGGTCGATGCAAGCCGAGTGCGGAATTCGTATCGACCAGCCATCGCTGGGTTTCGAACCGGTCACCTCATTGGGAGACAGGTGCTCTATCACCTGAGCCACCACGGCTCTATTAAGGCAAGTTTCTACCATGGCTCTGATTTTTCATAGTCTTCTGGGTTGGGTCAAAATTACAAGGTTAAGAATATTGATAGCAATACCGGTGATAAAATAAAACGAAACTGTTAACATTAGTAAGAAGTAGACAGAAAGAAGAAAATAATTATTACAAGAAAAAATTGAACAGAAGAAAAAGGAACACAAGCTTTCGTAATCGGGATCGTATTCACCACATTGCTATTTAAATTACTTTATATAATAGTATATGGAAAATCGACGAGGTACACAATAAATTTATTTCTGGTTTATTTTAAAAATATGTCGTAGATGATTGATATTAATCCTTTCGAATCGAAAAACGCATGTTACCTAACATTTTAGTAAATTTCAGAAAACCTGCCTTAAAATGTGTTAAGAAAGGCTTGTTAAAAAGCTGTTTTTTAAAAATTTATTTTCCCTTTGAAACGCAGATCTTTAATGAACATTGTTAGCATTTTCAGTACTACCCTTAATATTGTCTTTCACTAAATTCTTTATTTTTATGCTTCCTGTGCTTTTTAAAACCAAAAGTAAAGCTTTTTTTTTTTTTTTTTTTTACAGTTAGCTTTTAATAACTCCCCATTAAACACAAGAGCATCTATTAATTAAGTTAACGCACAGCATTAGTTTATCTAATAACAGTTTGTTTTATTTGCTTAATATATTTTGTAATTAAACAATTCCATCAAAACCTGTCTGGACATACTTATAAGATGAACTCAGACTTCCTTTAAAAAAAAAATTTTTTTTTTAAAATTCCATTTCTCATGACCCTTGAAAATTTATAAACATTGTTTGTTTTAGCATTGCAATCATGCGCTACTTGATTGACCAATACGCACCGGACCATGCTTTATATCCAAAAGATATTAAGAAGAGAGCTATCATTGATTGGCTGCTTGATTTTAACATAGCAACCCTGTTTAAGGCCTTGGCTAGTTATTTGGTAAGATTTTTAATGTTTCTCATAAAATATTTCGTTTAGCATTTTTAATATAGCCTGGCAACCGTGGAATAATCCAAACTTTCTTTCTAGATAGTTAACACGAAAACGGTGAATTTTATACAATTGCAATATAGTTTCCTGACTTTTTATTCATATACGGTGAAGTTTTGTGATTCTTATTTCATTCCATTACTACAATACAAAATGTTTCCGGTTAAACGCTTTCAATAAATCTTTTTAGTATCCCTTTTAAAAAATAAAATAATAAGGGATGGGATACACATTGGGGATCTAAAATACATATTTATGCGAGGCGGAAAACAACGATATAGAAATATGAAAAAACACTATCGAACTGCCTACTGGTGGTGTAGAGCAGCGGAACCTATCTCTACTTATGACAATACCATTAACGTGTGGATTGCCACAGGAGAAGGAAGCACGTTAATTTCTGTCTTGATTTTCAATTAGATCAAAAACTTTTAAGTTAGGAAACTATATGGAACTGAAAACTGCATTGAAAATAGTACCAAAAGGAAGCGTCTGCAAAATTTTTAAAAAAATATTTGTGAGAAGTATGAAAAATCGCAAGAATGGGGAAAATATCAATCCATGAACCCATGAAGGTCAATCCATGAAACCGTTCTCTATCTCTCTGCATATATATGTAGAGAGAGATTATTATTATCATGATAATTGTTATTTTTAGGAAGATGTAATGTTCAGAGGCCAGACTCCAAAACCTGAAAGAATGGACGAGTTCAATCAGAAAGTGGCTATACTGGAGGAATTTTTGACTCGTTCCCCATACGTTGCAGGTGACCACATGACAATCGCTGACCTATCAGTCATCACAAGCCTGGACTTCGCAGAGATTGTGAGTAATTCTGTCCCACTTCACTGAGCAACAGTTTGTATACATCAATACTATTTCATATTTCTTTAAAAAAAAATCATGAAACAGTACATCCCAAGTTACACCCCTTTTAATTTTATATGCTGCTTGTAGTTTTCTCTGTTGTTTCTTTAATATTTACACCAATTATGATTAAAAATGTTTAAAACTTAATGTTGAATTTGTAAATAAGTTTTTCTGAAATTGTAGAAACTTTGCCAACTTATCCATTATGCAGAGTAAGTTGGTATGGCATAATGATTTAATAGAATCAACTGAACTAAAATTAAATTCGCATTATTACTGATTAAATAAAAACTTCAATTACTAAACGAGTTTTAGTAACTAAAATTTTAGTTTAAACACGATCATTTTAATGAAATTTTTTTTAATTATTTACCTGCAAAAAAGCAACTGTCATTGTTGATTATTATTAGGAAAAAAAAATCGCTAAATGAAAAGTTCAAGTGAAACTAACATATACTCTATTCCAACAACTAGTTAAAAGCACTTTAAATATTTTAGAGCTTCTCAGAAGGAAATATTTAACTGATCCAAGAAAAGNCATCACCGAACTATTTGTGTGTGAATGTGACCCGCCCTATAAACGGGTTGTGGTAGTGTGACGTGGGCGACGCTGTTCCACCGCCGTGGCTTCGCCACAGGTGCCATCTGGGTAACGAAAAGAGAATTAGCAGTTCTGGCACTTTCTGTGGCCAATGGACAATAGCTCCAAGTGCCCGCCATTAAAAAAAAAAAAAAAAAAAAAGTTCAAGTGAAACTAACATATACTTTATGCTAACTTCTATTTCATGTCATTTACTCTATTCCAACAACTAGTTAAAAGCACTTTAAATATTTTAGAGCTTCTCAGAAGGAAATATTTAACTGATCGAAGAAAAGAAAAACTTCATAATAGGCAATCAGGAAAATTGCCCACATCTCTCTGTCTAAAAAATATCGTCAGATGTTCAGCCTGGTTGGTAGGGCACTGGGCCCATGTCCAAGAGTTCGTGGGTTTGATCCCCTCCCCGTGTAGTAAATGGTGACTGATGCTCGTTAAATCTGTCGAGTCGCAGAGTCCTCCATGTTCCCGTAACAAATCAATACCTCTGGGGCCAGGAGTTTCCTTGTCCTCTGGATTGGTTCAAAATTACAAGGCTACGGAGTTGAACATTAGTAGTCGTAAACTCAAAATTGGGTTGGTTGTTCAACGACGAATAAAATAAAATAATACTAATACTCTTTATGTTTACTTACTAATAATATATACAGGGATGAGATTTTTCCGCTTTTTTTCACTTTTATCTCTTGAATTTCAGCTTTTTTTTTTTTTAACAAAAATTTAGATTTTCTAAAAATTTCACTTTTTTTTTTGTAAGTATTCCGCTTTTTCAGAAAATTCACTGATTTTCAAAGAGAAGCAGAAAATTCAAACTACATAGCTACCAATCCTTTCTAATTTTTATTTTAGTATATTTTTTCCCCTTTTACACGCAGCAGATAAGATATTCCAAATTTTTAACCCGCCCTCCAGATAGATCCGATTTTCGTAGTACAAGCGACGCTGCTTCTGACAAGCCTTTTAGAGGTCCCAAGCCTGGAATGCTGTTATTTATGCCATAAAATGCAAAATTCTTATCAAATAAAAAACAATAATCTAAACATTTGCTGATTGTCATGTAATTTTTTAAACTAAAATAGCAATTTTTGTATGTTAAGGAGTTACTATATATTTCTACTTCACTGTTATTGATATGTTTCAGAGGGCTCTTGTTAGGTTAGACAATAATATGAACATAATGATTCGGTCCATTGTTAAAGTTTTTTTTCTTCCAATATAATTTAAAAAGTAATATTACTGATATATTTGCTATAAATCACATAACAGTATTTATTTAAAGAAATGAAATATTAATGTATATTCTCAGTAGTTTTAATTTGCTAAACCAGGTAGTTTTTCAAGTAATAATTGTCTCTTATGTGAACTGAGGAAAANTTCGTAAGCTGTAAAACAAACATAAAATATACTGGGGACATGAAAATGACTGTTTTTGTGAGAATGACCCATATATATATATATATATATACATACACTGCAACTTGCATCTTTTTATGGGTTAAGGGGTTAACTTTTTCTTCGCAAAAAATAGTATTTTGTGAGTGCATAACCTAAAATAGTAAAAATTTACTTACTTCATATACTTGAATGCTCTTATTTACAGGGTGTCACCGTTTTTTTTATGCAGTTTTTTAATTCTTGACAAATTAAAGTGAAAAAAGTATGCACACTGAGCGTCACAATTAAATATTTAAGCTAAGGAAAAAATAAAAACGCAATCGAAATCTAACGAATCACAACTCAAAAAACCGAGGCTAAATCTATCAAAACCGGTTTGATTGCTAGAGAAATCTCAAAGAAGTTGGGAAGTCTAAAGGAGTATTTAGAAGCTTCTTCACGTTAAACCAGGCATTCAAACTGTTTTTGATGTTTTTTCTCCCAACTTTTTAACCATTGATGCGATCAATTTTAATAGTATTATTGTTCTTTCATTGCTTAAATATAAATTTTTGCGCTCTGATATGTCTACTTGAACATGCAGAAAATTACCTAAAGAAAGAAAAATTAAATAAATGAAAAGAAAAAAAAAACTCTTTCCTTTCCGTTAATGACATTAGTTATTCTCAAAACAAACAAAAATTTCTATAATTTTTTTAAAATTAAAATAGCGCATGGAAAAGTTGTTAATAGAGTTGACAAGATTTCATATCAGTTAAAAATAATTAAAGCCTATCACTAACAAAAAAGAGTGTTTAATAAAATCCATCAAAGCTGTATAGCAATTCTTCATAAAATAAGTATTAAATATGTGTTGTATCAATTACAATGTACTGGAATGTGTTATATATAATGAATTCTAGTAAATAATTATTAAATCTTTTCAGGTTATGGACCACAGTTATTCTGATTTTCCGAAAGTCGAAGCTTGGATGAATAAGTTGAAGAAAGAAATTCCTGATTACAAAGAAATAAACGTAAAGGCACTAAAGAACATAAAAGAAAACCACAATTACAAAAAAAATTGAATTTTATAGCTCAAATGAAAGAATTGAAAAGGAAAAAAAACTTTATTTGTTAACGTTAGTATCAAATAGTTAGTAGCTAATTATATTTACTTATTAGAATATTAAAAGTAGTCGAAAACTTATAACGTGTTTCCTTATTTTCATTTTCTAAAATATCGCAGCACACTCTCGTTTAACAAAAAAAAAACATCAGACTCCCAACTAAGACAAACACCTTTTGCTAATTTGAACTTAATACGTATAGTACTTAATTGAATTATTAATAATAATGATAATTTTAATTGTTAATGGCAGTTTTAATGATATTTTTATAGAACAGAACTTATTACTTATAGCATTTAATTCAACTTATTACACGTTGTAATTACTTGAACTTATTTAGGATCATGGTACTAATATGAACTTAATACACATTGTACTGAACCGAACTTTAAGTACATAATATTTAATAAACATAATACTTAATAGACTTTTTAATAAGCATAATACTTTCTGTAAGTGTTATTAAAATGTATTAATAAAACCCATCTCAATCCCTTTAGATACTGAATACTCATTCTTTGTAAGGGGTGCAAAAAAAGAAGTAATAAGTAAAAAAAAGTAATTAACCCTTTATATCACCGTGTTGCATATCTGCAACATACACAAAAAGCCTACGTCTTTGCCCCAACAAATTTTGAAGGACGATTTCGGCGATTGTCGGCCAAAACCAGCGCGCCAAGATGAAATTCGGCACTGGCCTAACAAAAGAATCAGATGCAAATACCCAAAATGCAAAAGATTTACACAAACTATTTGTGAGAAAAGTGGTGTAGGACTTTAGAACAAAAGTAACAACTGTTTTAAAAAATTTTATATGAATTAAAATTTTTGAATCTTTCAATCTTAGTGCCATTTTTCACAATATTGCAGGAATGCAAAAAGCCCTTTTTTGTCATTTTGCATAATATTGCAGAAATGCAACAATCAATTTTTTTCCAATAATTATTTTATTTTATGTTGTAAATTTTTTCGTTATTTTTTGCATGCTTAGAATGATGTATTCCAATGTATGAGTAATTTTTATTAAAAACAGAGATGTTGAGATATATAAAGGGTTAAGTAATATAAAAGTTTAAATTTTTTTATGCAATTGGTTTATGATCCCTCAGGTAAAAATATTATGCTTAAAATTCAGAATTAATTCTTAAATTTGATGAATAAAAGGGAATTTTGAGGCCATGAAGCTTTGGGATTCTTGACTACTCTGGGGTCTCACATGGAAGTACGCATTTAGTGAATGATCCCCAAATTAAGTTCGAAGGTTATGGTACTGAACTATGTATAAATAAAATATAGTGAGAAGGAAAGTGACGAAGACAATGGCGGTTCACCAACGATGAAATTAACAAAAGAAATAAAATTTTCTATCGCTATTAGGGGAAAAAAATTGACAATGTGTAATTGATCCCCGTAATCAGCGAAAATTGGAGACTTTCTTCAGCTCGATTTCAGAGGGCGGAAAATGGAGCCTGAAACGGAGAATCTCTTGGAAAATGCTGAAGAGTTGTACATGGGAGGGCAAAAATTCTTCCCACTGAATATTTCATCAAACATGTAAAACGATTCGCGTTTTCATACGCCACGGACCTACGGTACGCCCAAATAGATTGTGGGTGAATGAATTGTTAATACGTTGAACAGAACAATGTTTTATGGCATAATTCGTGGCGAAAATCGACATGGTAAAAAAAAAAAAAAAATCTCATTTTAGAAATGGGAAAATTAGGCACTTGAAAAAAAAAAAATTACCTCTAAGTACTTTTAAAAAACGAAAAATCAAAAATAAGCACTTTTTAAAAACGCTATGCCCCCCAATATATATAAATGTATCAACTTAGAACCAAATAATGCTGCACTCATTCCTACAGTTGATCTAAATTATTTATTTCTAAATTCATTTCAAAAACTTTATTAGATAATGAATCTAATCACAATTTTAAGATCTTGCATAAAACATTCTGATAAGAAAATTTTACATTTTTGATAATTATTCGTATTTTAAGTTTTACTAAATATAGGTAAAATCTATCGATATCACAAATATTGTGCAATATATATATTATATACAAGTATTATGCTTATAAAGCAAACAATGGTTTGCTCTCAAACAAAAAATGAATTCACTACTTGGTAGTGAGAAAGCCCAACATTCAGCCAAAAAGAATTGTGAAATATTCAGTAAAATCACGATTTGTTGCATTTTTAAGTTTAAAGATATTTAATGTCTTATATCGGCTCTGTCAAACTGAGCCAACAAAGAAAAAAAAAAATGGTTTCTTACCAGACACAACTTTCAATTTGGCAATATAAGTTATTATTCGCAACACTATTGCAGTCAGTTAAAATATTTTTCTAAAAACTCTTTTTATATAAAGTTGGAGAATGAGGTTTCTAACTACAATGACAATAATTATGAACAAATAGTTCACTATCTTGAAAAAAGCAATTTTATTACACTTACAACAAGAATAAAGTTAATGAACAGTATAAACACAACAGGGAGCAATTTAACTTATCCTCAGAAAAAAACTCTTTATACATTAACTACAAGAATAAGTTTTATCAACAGTATGAACAAGACTGTGTGCAGTCAGACGACTTTTATATAAAAAACCTTTTTTACATATACTACAAGAATAACGCTTCTCACCAGTATGAATGTGCATGTGGTCACAAAGATTTGTCTTCCGTAGAAAACTTTTATTACATATGCTACATGGAAAAAGTTTTTCACCAGTATGAACATGAATGTGTCCAGTCAAATTACTTCTATGGGAGAAACTCTTATTACATACACTACAAGAATACGGTTTCTCACCAGTGTGTACACGACAGTGTTCAGTCAGATGACTTCTATTTAAAAAACTTTTATTGCATATACTACAAGAATAAGGTTTCTCACCAGTATGAACACGACTGTGTTCAGTCAGATGACTTCTATATGAAAAACTTTTATTACATATACTACAAGAATACGGTTTCTCACCTGTATGAACACGAGTGTGTGCAGTCAGATGACTTCTATCTAAAAAACCTTTATTACATATGTTACAAGAAAAAGGCTTTTCTCCAGTATGGGTCAGACTGTGATATGTCAGTGCACTCTTATTTAAGTAACTTTTATTACATACACTACAAGAATAGGGTTTCTCACCAGTATGCACACGACTGTGAGCAGTCAGATTACTTCGATATGAAAAACTCTTATTACATATATTACAAGAATACGGTTTCTCACCAGTATGTACATGTCCGTGTTCTGTCAGACTACTCCACAGTGAGAAACTCTTATTACACATACTACAAGAATAAGGTTTCTCACTAGTATGAACACGACTATGAGCACTCAGACTTCTTCGACATGAAAAACTTTTATTACACACCTGCAAAAATAAGGTCTCTCAGCAGTATGACAACAAACGCACTTAGTCATATAACGTTTATGTGGAAAACTATGTATTATTATATATACAAGAATAAGGTTTTGTACATTGTCAGACAGAGTAAACCCCTGTTAAAAATAAAAAAAAGAAGATAGTGAGCAACGAGGCCAGAGTTTTTGACTACACACTTTTTCCTCAACTACAAGAAAATGGTTCCGCCTATATGAATATCAAACACAAGTAAGTCTATTGTCATACAGTACTAAGTTATGTATGGCTAAAGCCACTTATTAAAGATTTTTACATGTACGGTTAACTTTATAAAGGTGAACTTTTGTACGACTAGTTAAAAAATAGTTAGAGCTGCATTTACAAGTACTCCACAAGAACAGAGTTTCTCTGCAGAATAAGGGACAGAGATTTATAAATCTAGAAAATATGTTAAAATACTCTGCACGCAAAATTAATAGAAATATTAAATTATTAACAATACATCTAAGTCCTTATTCATTGAAATCAAAGGTTAAATATTAATGAAACACTACAGTAAAATGCTATTCAATACTGTAATTTCCCTAAGTAAGGAAAGATATTAGTCTGGATTCAGTTTTTTGACTGCGACAAGAAAAACAAATTTTAAAGGTATGTTTGATATCTTCTTCCATGGCTATCTTCAAGCATCATGGAACAAAGAGCAATACCTCCAACTTTAACAGGAAAACCTGAAAAATATATATAGTTATTTATATAATTTATCGTATATTTTAGTTAAAGAAAAATATTTTTTTATTGGTATTAAAGACAGAAAAAAAAAATTAAGAGTCTACTCGTACAATAGTCTATATCAGGGGTGGCGAACCTTTATACATCAACGTGCCATTTTTCTAAAAAATTTTTTTAATGAGGTCATAGACGTGCCGTCAAATAATTTTGACTTCGTGATTATAGGGAAAATAATAATACTAAACACTATCAACTCAAAACTTTTTATTTACATTGAAATAAAATACATTTTGCAATGTCTCAGTTACACGCATAATTCAACTTAAAGTAACATCAGTGTGACTTCTGTTGTTGCAGATTAGATGACAAATAACTTATATTAGGTTGTAAGATGTTAGTTTAAGCAGGACTCTTAAATTATTTTTGCTAGTTATTTATTGTTAGTTTGTTTTTTATGGTTATTAATTATTTTTTTAGCATTAATTGTTAATTTTTTAAATTAATAATTGCTTATTATTTTGTTTGTTTTTCGTGAATTTTAATTTAATTGTTACATATGCTCCAATTGTGATAGGTGGTGTGCCCTAAATATTGTGTCGAGTGCCATAAATGGCACGCGTGCCATTGGTTCGCCATCCCTGGTCTATATTATATATTGCTCCAAATATTTAACAATTTACCAAACACGGTAAGTAGAAAAGAGACATCGGGCAAAAGGAAGATTTAAATTGGAAATTTTTATTGCAAAAATTCTATCATTCACAGTGACACATTGATCTTTTTTTTTATTTTTTTATCCATCTAAACAAAAAAGGTTAGTTTTTTTTTCCACAAAGGGGAAAAAAACACCCCAGAAGAAATAGGTTTCTTGTAACTTTTAAAAAAGACTTGCTCACCAACTTCTTGCAATTACTTCTCATTCATTGTTTTTCTTCACCTTAAACAACAAATTTTCCATGAAGACATAGAAGATTTTGTTTTCAAATTATACGATTATTGTAGCTTTGTGTAAGAACAATATGTTAAATTCATGAAATAAACAATTACCCAGATTTTAAAGACATTCATTCATAATTTAAAATAAAACAAAAAATTGAACCTAAGGGATTCAGATTGCATGACAAAATAGGAGAAAATAAATAAGAAGCATATTTTATTAGTTGACGAGACTAATAATTCAAATACGGAAGGGTTTTATTCCTTATTAAGCTCTTTTTTTTATATATATTTTCAAATTTTAATATAAACATTAAGACTTTCATCGTTATACCTGGTAAGATGTAATCTCTCTCCATTATATATTTTTTGTTAATTTTGATTGACATCTACTCTTGAGTGCCAGCTTTCTAGAACAATAGATAAGTAATCTATATTTAAAGCAAAATAAATAAATAAAAAGTACTTAAATTTGCAATAACTTATGAACATATTTGGACTTTTGGAACAAAATTGTATCATGTTCACAAAAAAAAGGGCTCTTTCGATGGTCAAATTTTAACTCTGTAGTTGTATTTCAGCAGGTTATGGAGTCATCACACATGGCATCTTTTCCCTACAAATTAAACAGTTAATAATTTTCAAAGCCATTGTCCAATGCTAGTTTTTTTTCTTTGTCACTCTCCCTGTATGTAATTCTCTAAACCCCGATGTAATTAAAAAAATTTTCAATGTAATTTCAAGTTTTTATGCAACAAAACAAAAAATAATGTAAAGGAAAAGTGAGAAAAATTTTGTGAAAAAGAACTTAAAATTACAAAAAATTTCTCTCTGAATTAAAAAATATATATACAGTACCCTTCCAAATTATTAGGGACACTTAAAATTTCTAAAAAATTGCCATTTCTCAAAGTGTCATAACTTTTTCAAAAATTTATCAATTTTCATAAAAATTTCAGGATTTCACGTTCAGGTCTTCTACTTTCACCTAAAAATTACTAATTTCATTTAACTAAATTTTTTGCAAAAATTTGCACATTTGAACCAAGCAATTTTTTTTTTAAAAAAAATGTCAAGTCTGACAAATTGCTACTTTGTAACAAAATTTTTTGCATAAAAATTACTATTTACACATTAAAGTACATGTCATTAACTTTAAAACGCGCTAAAGTAAATGACTTTATGATTTTGTTTCATTGAGTTATGAGATTTTCAAAATGTTTTGTCATTTATAGTGAAAATGAAATTATTGTGAATTCGAAAATTATTTAGTATTTATTCTTCAGCTTAAAGAGATCAAAATATTGACTATTTTCTGTTGAAAATTTGCTAGCTATCAATTATTTATTTGTTACGTAAGGTTTGCATAAGTTTATATTTATCACAGTTGAGAAAAATTTAGCTTTGCTATAAAAATAGCTAAGCAAAATAAAGTTAAATTTCTTAAAAAATTTTTGAGTCGTTTTTTAAAATTGTTATTGCAAATTTACAAATAATGTTCTTGTTTGTAATACTGTTTCAAATAAAAAACTTAATTAATCCGAATAAGAAAGTTGCAAAAAAATAATACTAAATACAAAATAATTTTCGAATTCACAATAATTTCGTTTTCACTGTAAATGACAAAAAGTTTTAAAAATCTCATAACTCGATAAAAAAAAAAATCGTAAAGTCATTTACTTTAGCGCGTTTTAAAGTTAATGGCATGCACTTTAATGTGTAAATAGTAATTTTTATGCAAAAAATTTTGTTACAAAGAAGCAACTTGTCAGACTTGACATTTTTTTAAAAAAAAAATTGCTTGGTTCAAATGTGCAAATTTTTGCAAAAAATTGAGTTAAATTAAATTAGTAATTTTTAGGTGAAAGTAGAAGATCTGAACATGATATCCTGAAAATTGTATGAAAATTGATTCATTTTTGAAAAAGTTATGACACTTTGGAAAATGACAATTTTTTAGAAATTTTAAGCGTCCCTAATAATTTGGAAGGGTACTGTATATATTAATGTCTATTATTATTATTATTCCAACATATTCCCTATAGATTTTTCTACAATCCTTTGTAGTTTCAAGTGTCTTAGTTTAGCACAGCAAAACAAAATGTAACTTGAGGTAGAACACCCAAGACATCAGCTTCGGCCCTTATGACTTTTTAATATAGAGAGAAAAGTTAAATATTAAAACAATTTTTTAAACAGTTTACAATTGCTATGCAGTTTGAAATTTACGTGCTATTTTCCAAAACTTGATATAGTACTTTTAAATACAAGTTAAAAAGCAACAATTGGGAGGGAAAAAAAGAAAGAGATATGAGTTTTTATTTCTGTTTCAGAAACTGATAAGAAGTTCAATATTTACAAACTATCTATTTATGATTAACTTATACAGTATGCAAGTTTAAGCTGCTAATGAATTCTCTTCTAATATCATTAAAAACTGGCAAAAACTATTAATTTTAGTTCAAACTGCTAGAGGAAGAATAAATTTCAAAATTCTTTTTATATGGTTAGGCTAAGTTAAGTGTTGACACTTAACTAAGCCTAACCATATCATACAATTGTATGATAGGGATATTTTTTTTATTTTATTTCTATGTTAGCTTTAAGTATCTATGCTCATATTTTATAATGAAATAGCTAAAAAATAATTTACTTGTTTGATTTTAGCACAACAAAGTAATTTTAACACCGAAAGCAATTTTTTTAATACACAGCTCATGCATTAGGTTACTTTTTGATGTGAAATTTCTCAGCTTTAAAAAAGCTTCATTTTGGGGATATCTTTTAATTCAGCATCATTTCCACCAACTGAAATTAAAATGCTTTATTTGGAATACATCGAAAAAAATATATTAAAGATTGCCTCACTTTTGATCATTTTTTTTTTTTTTAAATAAATTGCTGCCATTGCTTAGATGTCACCAAAGCTAGACAATTATTTTGATGCAGATACCGATACAGAAATTTTCCCTTCATTTTAGCTTGAAGAAGAAAAAAAATAGGGTGACCCAGGGTAATTCATGATCAGTTTGTTTCTAGGGTAAATAACGATCACCTAGGTTTTAGTTGGAAAAAAAAAGAGATTTTTTTTAAAAAAAATTTGAGACATGGACAAGACTCCTTGAATACTTTACTGAAGTATAACTACTTTCACTTAATAATTATTTTCTTTTTTATCTAACAAAAAAAGTATCTTTTAATACTTTTATAAACTACAAATTTTTCTTTCATTTTGAAAATAAGATAGTATTACTTTGAAATATACATGTAAAACAGTATAAGAGGGTAACTTAAAAATCGTTGAGGATAATATTCAGTTATTGCATAATATTACACATTTTGATACATTTTTATTGCCCTCCTTTTCTGAGAAGTGCCATATTTATTTCTAGGAAGAGAACTCTGGTTAATCACATTAGAAAAATGGTAAGTAAAACTAAGGTTATCTATAAATATTTTAATGAATAGATTTATTTTTTCTATAAAAAGGACAGTGATCAAATTTGATATTTGTGTATACATGTATAAGACATATATCATACATCTTCAAACAAACACATTTAAGGATTCCCTCCCTTCAAAGTACTTAAAGGCACACTACTCAGAAAGTTATATATTTATCTTTTTGATTGCATTTTTTACACAACTCATAACAAAGCTTTCTCTTAGTAAGAAGTCAGAAGACATTTGTATATTTTATGTAAACATAAATCATGCATTAGGATTATTTGTAAAATTTATTTATTAACTAGTTTGAAATAGAGTATATTTTGAATATTGTATGAATATCACTCACTTCAAATTATCTAAGTTTTTTTTAGAATATATATATATAAAGTGTTAAAATATTTCAGTTCTGAAAAGCTTTTTAGTTATTAAAGTGATTCAAGTAGTACCGCTGCCTATTTCTGTTCTTACCTTTCATGGGCACTTGATTACTTAAAAAATGAATTATTCTCTCTTAAGTGCTTTGAAGAGTAGCAGAAAGAGGTAGCCGGAAACGTTGACGAAAATCACAAACACCCAAACATAAATACTAATGAAATCGTTTTTTATGCGTACATTTAATGCATTCTTGATCTTGTAGTAATTAATGTAAGTTATAATAAATGTAATTTTAAAAACTTTCAAAATTTTTATTTTTTGTTCTCAAATGCAAACCACTTAACACTCCAGCTAAATTTCTTGGGGGCTTGGCAAAAAATGTAATTTTTTTTAAAAGAATCATAAATATCGCATTTTTTATTACATTTACCAATTAAATCTCTGAAGAAATTGAGTAATAATGCTTGAGAAAAAAAACAATATTATCATTAAATTACTTATTAACATTAGTTAAGCTGACTAGCGTCCTACCAAAACTAAAAAAAAACTTGCAGTAAAATTGCCAGATGGATATTTGAAAACTTACTATTTTACCTTTCAAATTTAATATTCTGAGAACAGAAAAGCGCCTCCTAAACTATATCTAGTTTCATTTGCGTTATTGCAAGTGTAAGTAGTTTAAAGGTTGTGACTGTGAATAAGTATCAATCCTTTTGATTAAAACGTATCATCTTATCCAATAACTTTTTATTGGTATAGTATAAGTAGCAGGTTAAATTGTGCAGAGTTAAAATATTATAAGGAAAGGCTGTTTTTTTTTTCAATTTGTATCTTTCTATTTTTGTAAAAGAAATTACTCTTTATGTTATGTCATTGACAGATATTTAGGTTTAAGGGTTGTTTTAATCTTCATATATTATCCTCCTCATTTCTATAGCCTTGAATATTGTACATGTTTAAGGAAGTTTCAGCTAACTTTTATGGGACTGTCACAATTTGAGCAAGAAGACTTGTAATTTAAATGTACACAATTGTTATTTTTTGACAGCTCTTTCAGGTGGTCAAAAAATTTAGTGATCATGCATGCATGCTATTGTAGTGTATTGTTTATATGAATTTTATACAGAAAATAAAAAGCAATTTTTTATTTTGTCTATAGCTTCATACTTTTTTATGTTAGTATACAAATTTTCAGGTGTAATAATGTTTTTTTAATTTTATTTTTTATCATACATTAAAATAGGCAGATTTTCCAAGAATTTGATGTGACTATTTTTTCCTTTCAAATACTACTATTATATTATATCACAATATTTATTAAATTCTGTATGAATTTTTTCACTAATCAATTTTGCTTTTTTTCTTAGGACATAATAAACTTTTTGGGCACAATATAAAGAGGTTGTGAAAGATATGCTTTTATTAACTGCATAAAGATCAACTATTATCGCTCTCTGAAAATTAAAGAAGAAAACCTTATGTTAATTTTGAAATGGATCTGCAATTCCTGATGCTTGCTTTACATAAAGAATATGATTTTTATTGATTACTCCATTTTTAAAATATAGATATAGAAGTTTTTGAGCAGTTTTATTTATATATTTATTGTTAGAGGCACTGCTGTTCTAAAAATTGACTTTTGATGTTAGTGAACTGAATCTGTGTCTGACTCATTGAATTCCTGATTATGCGCTTCCTTATCATGCTGAACACATTATCATTCCTTATCTACTTGTACTTAAAAAATTATTAGTATCAAGATAGCAGTTTAGAAATTTATGTTGTAATTAATAAGTGAAGATTTTTTGCTAACTATTATTTTAAAGCATATTACATTCATATTGATTTTTCATTGTAAAGTTTATTGAATACTGTATATTTGGTATTACTTAGGAACGAATATGAAATTTCTCCTTTTCAGTCTTTATATCTTTTGAACTTTTAAAAACAATTGCTTTATGTATCAAGATAATTAAGTTCAAGCAAATTCTGCGTTGAAAGTCTTTAAAAAAAATTTAAACAATCAATGCAGTCTTCATTGCTTACTTGTCAATTTTTTAACTTTGACAATTACATGTTTGTCCCTTTTTAACTTTGAAAGTAATCTTTAGATACCTGGATTGTTAAACGTAAATTATTAGCATATATAAAGACTTATTTTGATATTTTGTCTTCAGTACCTTGTAAAAGAATATTTGTGTAAAATTTGCTTTACGTATCTACGATTTTTATATTCAAATAATAAAAGAAATGTATGAAAAATAAGTATATCAGTAGTTGGTAGTCAGCTTTACTTATTGTTGTGCACTTTTCTCTTTTAAACGTAATTTTAATTCCCTACCCACAAAAACTTGTATTGTTTAATATGGGTTTTTCATCAAAAAAATATTTGTCTAAGCAGAATCTTGTTGCTTCTAATAAAAAGCATTTTTTTCTTGTTGCATCTGTAATAAGTGTTTTATGCAAAAATATTATTTAAATGTATTTAAACTTATTTATTTGGGTGAAAAGCCTTTTCTGCATAGCATACGTAAAATGAGTTTTACTCAAAAAAGTCTTTTATATCAACACAACCTTGTTCATTCTAATGAAAAGCCTTATTCTTGTAGTACATGTAATAAGTGTTTTACTAAAAAAAGATATTTAAAAGCGCATAACCGTATTCATACTGGGGAAAAGCACAACCTTGTTCAATCTAATGAAAAGCCTTATTCTTGTAGTACGTGTCATAAGTGCTTTACTAAAAAAAGATATTTAAAAGCGCATAACCGTATTCATAATGGGGAAAAGCCGTATTCTTGTGATGCATGTAATATGTGTTTCACTCGAAAATGTAATTTAAATAGACACAAACTTATTCATTCTGGTGAAAGACCCTATGTATGTATTATATGTGACATGACTTTTGCTCATAAAAGTAATTTAAATCTGCACTCGCTTATTCATTCTGGTGAAAAGCCTTATTCTTGTAGTATATGTAATGTGTGTTATGCTCAAAAAGGTGATTTAAAAACCCATTATCGTATTCATTCTGGTGAAAAGCCTTATTCTTGTACTATATGTAATATGCGTTTTTCTCGAAAAAGTTATTTAAATGCACACAATCGTATTCATACTGGTGAAAAGCCTTATTCTTGTATTATATGCAATATGTGTTTTACTCAAAAACATCACTTAAATAGACATAGTGTTGTTCATACTAGTGAAAAGCCTTATACTTGTAGTGCATGTGATATGCGTTTTTCTCAAAAAAGTTATTTAATTGCACATAATTTTCTTCATACTGGTGAAAAGCCTTATTCTTGTAATATTTGTAACGTGCGTTTTGCTCGGAAATGGGATTTAAATCGACACGAATTTGTTCATTCTGATGTAAAACCTTATGTATGTAGTGTATGTAATATAGGTTTTACTCAAAAAAATTGTTTAAATAAGCACATCCTTGTTCATTCTGAAGAGGAGCAAACTTGTAGTACAATTAAAACTGAAATATGTTAATTGTTATATGATTAACTTGTAATGAAAGGAGGTGAATACTATAATATTAGTGAATTCAAAATAATAGAGAAAGCATTTAAATTTTATTTAAATATTTTATGCATTTAAATTTAATGCATTTAAATTATGGAACTAAAATTATAATGAATCTTTTATATTAAAAATATATAATAATAAATAGAAGTTGTAACTTTAGTGCTGATTCCCAAGACACAAAAGGGAAAAAAAGATATCAGAGAGAATAAGGTACTAAACTAATGTATAAAATAATTTTTATTGTTTTTAAAATCTCTTTCACTTTTTTTATCTTATATTCTGTGTTCTATGTACTTGAAGCTTATGCACTGTTTATGAAACTTAATAAATCTTTATTTTTTTTCCTTTTCTTTCATTTTTTTTATCGTCTCATATATATATATACTCATAATATGCATATATGTTAGTAATTCTTAGTAAATGATACTGTAAAGAATTCTTTAAAGAAAATAACTTCATTGTATTCCGTATAGCTGTGCTGTCACAATTGTCAACTAAAATACTTTAATGAGATTTTTGATACTGTTTGTCTACCATGATGCCGATTTAAGTCAATATGGCTGTCTGAATTAAAAGAGGGTTGTTTTATCCTCAAATCATACTTAATATTTTATTTTGAGTCATCTGAACCAATTTTGGGTCAACGGCTACTAATGTTCAACTCTATAGTCTGGTAATTTTTAACCTAATCCAGAAGACATGTGAACTTCTGGATCAAATATTGGGGGAGATTTACCATTGTGAGGGACTTTCTTGATGGAATAAACCCGCATTTGCGTTACATGGAGAGGAAAACCTCTTTTAGTCTGATTGCAAGGGGACTCTAACCCATGATCACCATTGAAGATACTTTACATCAGCACTGTGATTGGTGCGAGCCAAGTACAGAATTTGTATTGACCCCAATTTATTCGTATATTTATTTTTCAAGAAAAAAAATGAGAACGCTCGTTCAGTGTGGTACTGGGCACATCTACAGCCGAGTACCATACTGCTCTTGACTTACTTCTGGCTCACTGACTGTGGGTTGGAAACTGCTGATATAGATAAGTTTATAATTTATTGAGTTATCATTTACTGGATTCTGGATTTTTTCTTTAGGATCTTTTATAAATTTTATCATCTTTACACTTCTCTTTTTTTCCCGCTACACATTTACTATTCTTGTTAGCCTTAATTATTCTTTATTGTATAATTGAAGTAAATTTTTTTTTTTCATTTCCATTATGAAAAGGTTTTTTTTTTTTTTTTTAATGTCATTGTTTTACAGTCTAATTTATCTCATATGCCTGAACATACAAAAACATTGTTGCAATACATAAAATTAATAAATATATTTCTGTTCATATTATTGTTAATAAAAAAATCAAGGGTCGTTGAACCAAGTGCTTTCTAGGAACTACAGAACTGGTTGGTTTTGTTTCATAAAATTTGTCATTAGTATACATACTTTGTTGCATTTATTTAATCGAAATTAAACTGTTATTTTGTTAGTTAATAAAAATACAAAAATCTATTTGTCTTTAAGTTGCACGTTTTTCGCTTCAATAGAAAAGTTATTCTTCATGCACTACCTTTTTGAATCATTAAACTTTTTTTTTCTTTCTAAAAAAGACTTCCTGTTGGACGATTTTAAAGCCATTGTTCCTAAATTATGTGTATTGAATATGAATGAAGATTTTATTTTTACAAAATCATTACCTATTCTTGGACGATCTGTATTTGAGCAAATTCTAAAGTGATACTTTTTTATTTTTACTAACTGTTGATCAAAATAAAAAAGTAATGGTTATGTGATCTGATATTAGAATTTGAATTGAGTAGTATATTAAATCATCTGCTTCTAATTACGTAATTCGTCATTGATTTCTTGAGTCACAGTATATAGGCTTAAATCACTTGAACTGAATCAGATCAGAGGTAAAAAATACTTGGGTCGAACTAGTGATCTAAAACACTAGTTTCAAATCAGTGGTCCAAATTACTTGATACTAATCAGCATTTCGATTGATTTGATTTAAATTAAGGCTCCTGTGTGTTTGCAGGCAGTGTGTCCCCTGATGAAGTACTGTTCTGCAAACACACATTTATATTTTGATTTTAATTATTAAGATTTAATTTGTGTCTTATTTTTATTTTGATTTAAATTACCTAATTTGTGTCATGTGTTTTTATTAGTGTTCTGAATCATTTTATTCGAAAGACTAATCCGTATCACTTGATTTAAATTGATGGTCTACTAAATCAATTTAAATAACGGATTGAAATCATTTGGATTCGTATGGTGATTTTATTAGATTGGAATAGAGGTTTGAATTATACTTGATTCGAGTAACGGGATTTGCTATCGATTGGTTAAGTAATGTAATTGATTTGAATTAGTGATCAGAACCACTGGATATGGATCAGTGATCCGAATCACTCGATTCAAACAACGGGATTCTTCGAATCACAGGATTTAAAAGCCTGAATTTAATAATTTGATTCAAATAATGATTTGAACTCATACCGAAATACATGATTCACATCAGTAAACCGAGTCACATGATTCGAATTACTAATATCAATCACTTAATTCAAATCAATGATCCTATACATTTATTTTGAACTAGTATCCCTGATCACTTGATTTGAATAACTTATTTTAAATAGAAATTTAAATTAGTGATCCTATTTGATTCAAATCGTGTTTTAGATCGCTTGATTTGATTCAGTGATATGAATCACTTGCTTGATTCAAGGTGTTGAATCAATCGAATTGAAAAAAAATGATTAACAACTTCTATAATTTAAACTGAAAATTATTAGAAAAATTAATTGATTAAAACGTTTAGAAGGAAGGAAATGAAATCTGCATTAAATAGTTTTAAGATCATCAAAAAATTCATTAATATAACCCTACAAAAAAAACTTAGCCAGTTGAGAATAATCCTAACAAAGTAAATAATTCTAATAATAATCATAATTAAACCTATAAAGACAGATAATTTTACTAGTGTGTAAATATTATTCCAACAGTGAATTACTTTTTTAAATGGAATTGAATTCAAAGGCAATGTTTTTAAGGGATGGTGGCTTATTTTTACAAAAAGGGCACATTTATAGGGATCAAAAGGCAGGCAGGATGGGCCACACTTCTAAAAAAGCTTAGGGAGAACACTGATATATATATATAAATAAGGATGAATCAATTCCTCATTTGTTTGCTGTAGACAAAAATATTTAAGTTTCACTTTGTCTCGACTCCTTCCTTTAGTTAATTTAAGATGGTGGCTCAGAGAATAACCACAATAAGCTTAAAAATAAGTATTTTCGTATTCAAATAATCAGCCTATGTTGATTGTTACAATCCTATTGAGTAATATTGTTAAATTGTAATAGTATGGTTATAGTACAGTAGAACATCGATTATCCGAGCTAATTGGGACCTCTAGTACCTCGGATATCAGAAATCTCAGTTAATAGAAACTGTATCTAAAAACTCGCCTTGCTTGCAAATTCATCTTTTGAAATAAAAAACGTTTTTTAAATGATAAAAATAAACATATATAAAGTTCTGTTTGACAGGTCAACAAATTTAAAAAGGAAATTAACTACTAGCAATAAATTGTAAACAGAAAATGGAATTTTTTCTTAATTATTTTAAAATTAAACTAAAAGATGCATTTTTAAAAATAACACAAATCTCAAGAAATTATTTTATTTTTTGTGAATTTAATGTACATTAATTTGTTAATTTTGCATTACCATTTCTTAAAATATTCTGTTACCTTTGTTGCAAAAGTACATTGTTACAAAAGTACAGTCCGATAACACGTGGCACCTGGTGGAAATAAAGCATTGCTCGCTGCTATTGACTTCTGAGGGCGCTGCAAAATTTCTTGGAAAGTGAGTACTTTTGGGGGCAGTAGAGCCGAGCGGTGAACTAAAATGCGTGGTCATTTTTTAGGACTCATTCCCTTTAGGAAAATTTATCATAGGTCTGCCATTAAGAAAATTACCACAAGATGTTCCTATATGATTTTGCCTAAGGTAAAATTTTGTCATATATTTTTGCCATAAATGTATGGCAAAACGTGTATCCTGTAAGAATAACTTATGGTAATTTTTGTATATACCAAATTTTTGCCATAAAATTATGGTTTTTAAATTTATTATAGTTTATTAATTACTGTTTATTAATTTATACATAGAACAACAATAAACAAGAGTCATTGAATTACAGGGACCACATTTCACAATGATTATGCTACAAGAATATCAGGAAAAAAACTTTATTATCGACTCGATTAACAGAAACCTCGATTAATCGAAGCACGGTTAATCGAGGCTCTACTGTATTTTCAAAGAGCTTGAAACAGAAAATTAAAGATAACAATTTAATAAAAAATAATGTTTCAGTATTAATAAATTTAAGAAAATTAAACCATGGAACATTGAAATTGTAAATTGATGTTTGATTTACTTAATTTGCCAATCAGGGATACCATTAAATTAAGTAATTTTCCAGACCTGTTGTAGAATTTTTTATTTATTTTTTTAAATAAAAAATCAAATATTTCCCTTTTTTGCAAAAATCAATTACCAGCCAGCTTTAGGTATCCTTGCTTGTGAGAGCAGTTTTTGTACTGATATTATGATAGAAATTAGTAAAATTTTCTTAAAGTGAAAAAGTTTTATCACATATACAAGAATAATGTTTCAAACAGGAATCTAGATTTCTTTTATTCAAATTTTTTTTATTATATATAAGGATTTTTTACCAGTCTGCTGAACACAAAAGTATTATTTTTACCAGAAAAAAACAGTCATTACATACATTACAAAAATAAAATTTCTTATCAATATAAACAAAACTGTGATAAGACATACCTCTGGGGAAAAAAAAAAAAAAACTCATAACAAAGACTATGATATGGTTTTACAAAGTCATATTATGATCAGTCAGAATAAATTTTTGCGAAAAGCAGCAATTATATAAACTATAAGAATAAGCTTTCTAGCGTGAATGAACACTATAATGTGCAGTTAGATAACTTTTCTTAGAGAAACTTCGATAACAAACACTACAAGAATAAAGATTCACATTAGTATGAACATAATTGTATCGAGTTAAAATTCGTTCATGTGAAAAATTCTTATTACAAATACTACATGAATAAGGTTTCTCACCAGTATGAGTATGATAAGTTAGAGTATCTCATTGAGAAAAATTCTCATTACATATACTATACGAAAAAGGTTTTCCATTAGCATGAACTCTAGCGTGGACAGACAGATCACCCTTTGAAAAACTCTTGATACGTATGCTGCAAGTGTCAGGCCCCGCGGCAGAATAACGGCGACACTGTCGCAGAACGTTAGAATTCTTGCAGAAAGAATTTCTCTTTAGAAAGTGAAAAATTTTAATTTTCTTTTCTGCAAAAATTTTAAAAATTTTCTTTCTCTAAAATTACATTTAAGAAATGCCTTTTTCGCACATCGGAGGAGAAAGAAATGTTCTTAATTTTTCGATTCCTATTTGAGAAGAATGAAAAATAAAGAATATTGAAGCAAAATATTTCTCTTCTGCAGAAATGTTTGAAAGATTTTTTTTCCTCCATGATTATACTCAAGAGATACCTTTTTCACGCATCAGATGGGAAGAAATACTCATGATTTTCTTATTACCTTTTCGGAAAAATAAAAAAAAATTGGCTTTCTTTCCATTCACTGATTTTTAATTATTATTTTTTTATGTGATGATGATGATTTACTGAATGCAAAATAAGTCTTGTGTTTTCCTCTTACGAAATGTGAGAATATCGCCTATGATATAGAATTAAAAAAAATATTACATATTCATTTTAAAAAAAATAAATACAATTTTATTACATCCAAATAGGCTTTTCTTTGTAAATACAATGTTTCTGTTACTTTAAATTTAATCAATAACATGTATATTAGTTATTTTTAAAAATATCTTGTAGAAAGATATTAGTGCTAGAGAAATTTGTCGCAGAAAGCCCAAAAAATTCTGCTACAGGGGTGTCAGGTTTCTCACCAGTATGAATATTATTATGGCGAGTTAGATCACCCTTTTTTGTAAATCTCCTATTACATATACTACAAGAAAAAGGTTTCTCACCAGTATGAATACGACTATGTTCAGTTAGAACTCTACTATTACAAAAACTTTTATTACATACACTGCAACTATAAGGCTTTTGACCTGTATGAGTTCGATTATGTTCATTTAGATTGCTTTTAGTAGCAAAACCCTTATTACATACACTGCAAGAATATGGTTTCTCCCCAGTGTGAACACGTAAGTGACCAGTTAGATTTTTTTGATGGGAAAAACTCTTACTACATACATTACAAGAATAAGGTTTTTCCCCTGTATGGACAAAAGTGTGTTTCATTAAATAACAATTCTGGGAAAAACTTTTTCCACATATATTACAAGAATACGGTTTTTCACCAGTATGAACACGATTGTGAGCAGTTAGATTACCTTTCCGAGAAAAACTCATTTTACATATAGCACAAGAATAAAGTTTCTCGCCAGTATGAACACTACCGTGGGCAGTTAGCTTACATTTCTGAGAAAAACTCCGATTACATATATTACACGTATAAGGCTTCTCATGAGTATGAACACGCTGATGGTCAATGAGACTGCCTTCCTTTGGAAAACTTTTATTGCATATACTATTACATGAATAAGTTTTTGTAAAAGTCTGAAATGGATTGTTGAGAGTTAGTTCAGTATTTACTGAAATATTCTGCCTGTCTTCGTTATCAGAATGAGGTTCCTTACCAGTATGAAGAGCATTACTTTTAGATAAATCGCTGTTTGATGAAGAGTTCATATTGCACATAATATACACCTGCACTATATTGTGATCATTAAATTATCTTTAATATGAAAACACTATCTCATACTACCGATGTCACAACTGAGATTCTTAATGAAAGGAAAAATATTTGATATTGAGCAAATGCTATGCTATATACACTGATTTATTAATGTTTCATTTTAGCATCAATAAAAGCTTAACCAATATATTTTTCTCATAATTCAATTATCAGCCTATATCAATTGCTCACATAATACTGCTACAAATTTTCAGCAGGTTGTGAAAATAATAGGTCAGAACATTTTTTAAAAAATTTCTTTTTCTTTACGCTTTTTTTAAGCACAAATATGATTATTCATTAAAAACACTATCAGATATTGTTAACTATAAGCGTTTACAGACTTTGTTGACTTTCAAAAATTTTGACTGTGAACTTTTACGAAGACTTCTGGTTGATTAAAAAAAATTGCAATAAACACAAAATTTAATTTAAAAAAATTATTTAATGATGAACACAGCAGAAATTCAATTTATGTCAGTTTCTTTTCTTCACACAATCTTTAATGATAAACACAGCATAAATTCAATTTATGTCAGTTTCTTTTCTTCACACAATCTTTAATAAGGCTTTTCACCAATGAGAAAAAAGTGTCATATGAATAAAATCTGTCATACATAAGCTTTATTTGATTAAACTACTCCAAAAAGACACTTTTTGTAGAATGCAATAAATTCATTTTCATTACTTGTTGCTAAAGTTTTAATTTTTTCATCACATACACTTCATAATTCTCTTAGTGTATACTACTTGTTCTATGTTTGGTTGTGTTTCAGAAATAAGAGCAGATAATGATGATGTGTTACAAACAATAAACGAATGAAGATCCCATTTAAAAACCGCGTTTTCAAATATTAATAATTTTTAATGTTTCTTAATAACAATACCAAATCAGGATTCATTTGATTTAGTATTTACCAAAAACTGCACACAAATTTAAAAATTCATCAGTCATTCATGTTGATTGCAGAAAAGTTTGATGAGCTCTTTGCATTAGCTTATAGCTTTGCGTTTCTATTAATGAAGCCTATGGTTGAGGCTAGATAGCTAGCAAAGGTAGATAGGTACTTAATTTACGTCGCACTAGAGCTGTTTTGATCCTCTGCAGAGGGGATGGCTCCCCTGCTTTAGTAGCCCAACGACCAGCGAGCGTGAACTCGAGCACTTTACGGTCAAAATGCTTAACGAGGACCGATCAGCGCACCCTCGGTTCCTACACAGACTGCTCAAAGTGGTCACCCTCTCGCTTACTGATCGCACTCAGCGATGCTTGACTTCAGTGTTTCACTGGAAAACTCATCTTTACGATCAGTCCTCTGCGGGATGATAGCAGTTATCAGAAAAATGCAGTAAAAAGTCAGAAATGGTTTGTGGTTCGGTAGGTAGGTACTTTATTTAAGTTACACTTGAGCTGCACAATGGGCTATTGGCGGCTGTCTGGGAAATATCCTTGATGATTATTTGAAGACATGCCAACGAAATTTTGACCCTCTGCAGAGGGGATTGCTCCCCTACTTAGGTAGTCCGACGACCTGCACGCGAAGTCGAGCACTTTACGGAAGAACAGTTTAACAAGGACTGATACCACGCACCCTCTGTCCCTACTCAGGCTGATCAAAGTGGTCACCCACCCGTTTATTGAATGCAGCCAGTGATGCTTGACTTTGGTTTTCTACATGGAACCGTATCTTTACGATTTGTCCTCTGCGAGAAGATAGCTAGCAGAAAAATGCAGTAAAAAGTTGGAAACGATTTGTAGCATGGAGTCAGTAAATTTTGGATTCAGAAGAGATAAGTACTTTTTTTAGAGCATTTTGTAATAAGGGACATTCCGGGAGAAAGTAATCGTTCGCGTCGACACCTCAGCAATACAAATAATTTGGGCTACGCATCAGATTACACTTGTCTAATCGCGCATTATTCGGAAGAGATTTAGTTCTGAGTCTGGGGATCGGAACATCAAGATTTCGGGAGCTCATTAATGGAAGGTGATCCTGAGATCTATCAAGGTGATTGAAGTATTTGCAACCCTTCCATACACCGAATTCTTTATTGAGCGCTTCCTTAAGGAAAGCTTGACTGTGATCTTGAGGGGATGAAAGATGTGATATGATATTATGGTTTAGCCCTTGTTTTTAAAACCGATCTGCTTGTTCATTTTCTTTTATTCGTGTGAGATGGAACCCAAATAAATGATCTCACTGTCTGAATTGATTTGGTAATTTGGTCAAGAAAAAGAGGATTCTTGGAGATTTTTCAAGTGTCTTTGGTTATAGACGGAAGGATCAAATGGTTGTCCGTTAGACAAATATAGTGGTCATTGCTTGTAACACAATGTTTGAAGGCAAAGAAAATAGCCAATCCTTCGGTGGTAAAAACCGATGTATGCCGAAGAAGCTGACCTGAGATCGTTTACCCTTTGGAGGTACATATTCCCACGCCAATTTTGTTTGATTGTTTGCATTCATCGATTGCAAAAATAATACTATTTGAGAAATTCAGTTGACGAAACTGTTCAGTGTTCAGACAACGCTCGAACCCGTAGCGGGAGTGAATTTTTAGGTTGAAATGGTAAATTATCAAGATAAATTGAAACATTTGCAGGGGTTTGAGTTGGAAGTTGGAAGGTGGTATTTAATGGAGGGTGGTTGAAACCAAACCAATTTGTGTAACTTGCAGTTAGTTGACACGCCAGGACGAGCATGGGATGAGGCAAACAGTGGGCCCCATGGGACTGGGGCAAACAGTGCACGCCTAATGCACAACCTCGACCTTTGGCCCCTCAGGTAGGAAAAGATCATGGAAGAATTGTTAAAGACGTCTCACTTGGACAAGAGCTATCACTTCGGATTGGGAGAAAGATTTAAATTTCAGTAAGCGGAATTTGTTTTTTACACTGCGACAGTTCGAACAGTGATGTCCAGCAGTGGACTGATCGTTAAGACACGGTTCCCAGCAGATCACCGAAGTCAAGCATCACTGGCTGCGGTCAGTGTGTGGGTGGGTGACCACTTGGATCACTCTGCGTAGGGACCAAGGATGTGCGGTATTGGGCCTCGTTAAACTGTTCTACTGTAAAGTGCTCGACTTCGCGTGCAGGTCGTCGGGATGCCGAAGCGGGGGTGCCACCCCCTCCGCAGAGAATCAAAATTGTGATGGCATGTCTTCGGATAATCCTCTGAGATGTTTCCCAGACAGTCGCCAATAGCCCATTGTGCAGCTCTAGTGTGACGTAAATGAACAACAACAACAGTGATATTTATTGATATGTTGAGAGTTATGACTAAGGTGAGTAACTGTTGTTAATAATGCATCTACAGGACCAAGGAATTATTTGTACCACTTGACTTAAAGCAGAAAGTAGATATTAGCTACGTTATAAGCGTTTAGAATTCCTCGATTTTGTTTATTTAGCTTCACGATGTCACTGACAGATGTATTTAATCGAGATTGTGGAGCTCTATTAGTGGGACTCTTAGTAGTAGCCAAAAACATAGTATCAATATGTATTTGGGACGAGACAGGAGTTGTACAATGTTCTGGTTGTTCCGATGTACAGGTGGAAGTGGGCGTGTTGTTTTGGCAGGGCCGGATTTACGTATAAGCTAAATAAGCTGTAGCTTGGGGCCCCGAGATGGCAAGGGCCCCCAGATCCCACTTTTTTTTTCGTTTTAAAACAAAGTTTTATTTGGAGCTGGGGCCCTCTGAAGTCCAAAATGCATTTTTTTTTCTTTTTTACATTGTCGGGCTCTTTTCAAAATCTAATCGAAGTGCTTACAACTATAAAATAATTGTTACTCTTCACTTTTCTAACCAAAAGAGCAATAAAACGCTCTTTCCACAGATGAAAATATCCCCACTTTCGTAACTACCACCCACAGAGTTGTCAAATAGCCTCCTCACTTTACACTGTGAGAAAATGTTTTTAGCTTCTTTATATTGCCTTGGGACTCTTTTTTCCTAACTTCGGAAATATCAGATANCTGGTCATAAATTGCTTGGAACTAAAAATTTCTAGGGCTGTATTTAGGGCAAAAGTGAAAATCAAAATTAACCGAATTCGTGGTTATTATGCCATGCTCTAAGACAGCGGCTCTCAATTATTATTTAAGTCTCCCTCTATGGAACCCCGTCACTACGATTAAAATTTATTAAGGTAATTGTGAATGCTATAACCTGAGAAAAAAACTTTTTTTGAAATATTTTATTAGAGGAATAAAGATTTTCCATCGTTTTATCATTAACAATCATTATATTATTAATAAGGTTTTACATCCAACAGTTAAATTTGCAGTCCTTGTTCTATATCTAGTATAGTTTTGAATTTATTTTTGGTGTATATACATACGCAGAAAATGAATAAAATAAGCCGAATTGGTTTACTTCTAAATGAGCTTGAAGAGACTAGTTAAAAATGGTAATTAGGAAGGCATTTATTTTTATAAAAGAATTTAGTTTTCTTTTCTTTTTTTTTTTGATTTGAGAAGTGCAGTATGAAATGCTAATGTAATATTTTATAAATGATTATTCTTTTACATCTGAGGAAAAGGTAGGTTGTTCAACATTCAACATATTGTTTTTAGAAATATATTATCATTTAAAAAATGCCATTTCTACTTAATTGGTATTTTCCTTTAAATAATTTAATAAAGAAAACCGAGCGATTATATAGGATATAATTTATAGGTTGGATCTAAATATAATCAGAGATTATAAAAAGTACTAACTAGAAGTTTTTAAAAGTATTTATCCCTGGTTATAAAAAGTATTAATTTGCGATACCTCTTTAACTCTTCCCGGAACCCTAAATTTCCATAGAACACAGTTTGAACTGCTTTTCTAAGGTATCATGATGAAATTACCAAAACTTACATTTACTACTTAACAGCATGGTAAAAACAATATTTTTATTGTGTTAATTTCATGAGAAGTTATGACCAAATCGCAACGGAAAAAAATTACCCTGTTTTTATCTGGTTCCATAATTACCGTAAATTTTACTACGTTCTAATAGTTTTGACCATTATTTTTTTTTTCTCAGTGCGGTCAGTACCATGGTTCGCATTTCATAAAAGGCACTGCATGCAAATACATGTGTTTTTCTCAAAATTTCAGAAGGTCTTCTACTTTGGCACGTCAAATTTTTAAAAAAATATTTTGTCACATAATTGAAGAAAAAAAAACACGGATATGATAGTTTTGCACGAAGAACATATCCGGAGATTTTCAACTAAATCAAGATTCTTAGTTTATTAAATTAAAAAAAAAATTAAATAAAAAATACCCTGCAAGGTAGGTGTGTTTATTTAGGGCCATTGATTATGAAATCTAACGCAAAACTGTGAGATCATGGGTTCCATTTCAACTGATGACAGCTCTTAATTTTTATTTCTTAATACTGAAATATGTTTTTCTTATTTTTTTAAAAATATGCATGTTAAAAAATAGTAATTTAACAATTATTTAAAAGAAAAACTAGAAGACTACGTCCCTTGTTCACTTTGCTCACCAACACGCGTGGTTGCTACTCATTAATCATTGCAGATTAAAAATAAAAACTACATATTTAAATTTTTTCCCCGCAAAAATTACGATTGAATTGCCATTTACATTTTAAAGATGACTAAATTTAGGCAAATCAATAAAATCGGAAAATTGGTACCTGCCGCAGAGTTATTACTCAGTGAAGATGGGTTCAAAAGTTAAAGCATTCGCCTCCGAATGGAACCGGATTCGAATCCCAGTGATGGCTGGTCGATAAGAATTCTACAACTGGCTAGCACCGATCACAGTGCTGATGCATAATATCCTCAGTGGTAGACAGATCATGGGCTAGAGTCCCCTAGCTGTCAGACTAACCGTGGGAAGTTTTCCTCTCTATGNAAAAAAAAAAAAAAAAAAAAAAAAAAAAAAAAAAAAAAAAAAAATCGGTTAAATATAAAATGGCTCTTCCAGCTTGCCAAAGTTTTACTCTTTGATTAAAATGTGTTTTTGTAACTTTTTTCCGCCTTCAAAATATATGTGCAATAAAAGAAAGGTTTTACATTATAGTCTCATCAGAATCACATTTAACAATCAAGTAATACTATCAAATTTTTTAGTAATTTAGTATTAATACTCAACAATAAAAAATAATG